TATTATTATTTTATTACATTTATTGTACTTTATTATTATTATTACATTTATTATTTTACTCCATTATTGGCATTATTACATTGGCATTATTTTACTCTATTATTTTATTACATTTATTTTATTCTATTTATTTTTTTACATTTATTATTTTACTTTTTTTATTATTGGAAGGATACGTAAGCATATTTACACTAAAAAAAGGTTAGAATAATGGTTTAATCAAGGTAGGTCAGTCTTATTTTAAATTACAGTTTTATGTAAACATTGAAAATCATTTAACCTACTGTTTCCTCAATTAATGTAATTTTATTGGTATCTATATTTATTTTGTATTACCAGTAGCTGCTGCATTTCCCACCCTCGACTTATACTTGAGTCAAGAAGTTGTCTCATTTTTTGGTGGTAAAATTAGGTGCCTCGGTTTATACACAATAAATAAATAACTATTGTCTCTTGTCACGAAGCCCTGAGATGCCAGTGTTTGTTACTATTGTGCATGAAATATGATTGTTCTCTTTCTGGTTCTAGGAGGTTGCCATTTGCTAACAACAGTGTTGTTTCCCTTTGTTCCCGGCAGAATCGCTGGACACCCGCTGGCACAGAACGAGCGTTGCTTACACATGTTCCTGCAAGAGGAGATCATTGATAGGAATTACGTCCCAGGGAAGGTCCGCCAATAGGGGAGCCCAGCGTCCTCCATTTTTTCCTCTTCCCCCACCCCACCCTTGCAAAAATGACATTTATTTTTACACTCTCTTCTTCTGAACCAGCTTTTTTCTCTCTGAACTTCCTTCCCTCCCCGCCCCATGCCCACTTTTGTCCGGTGTTGCCTGCCACGCCACCGCATCCCGATCCCCTTTGTCAAGGCAGCAGAGTTGAGTTCCGTCGGTCTTCGGTCTCTGTATAGAAGGTGTGGAGCTGCAAAGAGCTGCACCTGTTGATGGATGTGTAGAGCTTGCTGGGAAAAGGAGGCTGAGGGATACAACGTGCAGGTGAGGATGGGGAGGGGGCATCTCAAGCATGTGCTAAGAAGAACATGGCTCTTCTTCAGCAATTGTAAGGATCCCTTTAGCATTTTGCTCCATTATGGCAGAAAGCAGCAAATGTTTCCCCTGTTGAAACGAGGGCATAGTAGACCAAAAAAAATAAAAAAGCTTGGAAGCACCTTTGAGAGAGCAGTTGCAAAGAGTTTACAAGTGGCCATTGTCCACAAATCCACTATCCCGAGTATTTCTGGTCTTCGCTGCTAATCCTACCCCTAGAATCTTTTCAGTTTGATGAGTTGACAAAAGGCAGAAAGGACTTCCTATCCAGAGGCACCTTCCTGCTGCCTCTAGGAGAAACAAGGCTCTGCAAACGAGTTGTGGGTTCTCAGAAATGGAAGCTTGTTGAGGTCCGGGCAGATGAAGCCTTTCTTGGATTCTTTGGCTGGTTCTTGATTCCGGAAGTTGCAGGGTGGGCAGTGTTTCTCCAGGCAGGGACGGAAAATATCACAACCGGGCCTCGCCAAGCTAGACTTAGGAATTTTTGAGTCCCAGGCAACTTGGCATGCCTCTGTTGTGGTTCACAGAAACTTTCCTTGGGGATTGGGTCAGCAGCCACTGAGGGTTAAGGTGCAAAGTTCTCTGCTCTTTGTTTAATATTTAATCTGCTTTGGAGGTCTTGTGGGTGCCATGAAAGGCATGTCGGAAAATGGGGGTGTCTTCACTCGATTCAAATAAGGGGCCAGAGCATGTATGTATGTGGGAATGGGGAAGTAATAAAGTGACTTCAACATTGCCTCTTCTGCACCTTCTGCTATTCCACGTGTGATGGAGCGTGACACTGAGGGCAGGAAGGAGAAGCTGTACATGAAACCCTGCATGTTTTGGGGGGTAAAGAGGCGATGGAAATGCACTCTCCGTTTATGAGGTGACTGGAGAGCAGGGAAGACTGTTCTCCTCATCTGCCAAAGCAACTCACTCCGAAAATGCTGCCTGAGCACAGGTTGCTCCCGTTGAAAAGGTTCTCGCGTTCTCATTGGAGGCAGCTTCCTGAATCTGCATTCGCTGTGGGTTTGTGAAACCCTTTCTTTCATTTGGTGCACAAGTCTGAAGATCAAAGGCTCTTGCTGCTGTACATATATATATATATACTGATGTGGGGCTTCTAATTCAGCGATCTTATGTCTTCAGTTGACTGTCCAATGTAATGTCCAAGACTTGTTCATATTAAACCACTGTGAAGCCGACATGTCTGTGTCCTCTCAGTCATAGACTATTTTTTTGTGTCGGGAGCAACTTTAGAAACTGCAAGTTGCTTTTGGTGTGTGAGAATTGGCTGTCTGCAAGGACGTTGCCCAGGAGATGCCCGGGTGTTTGATGTTTTATTATTGTTTACAGTATTTATATACCCTAGGGCAGTGTTTCTCAACCTTGCTAATGCCGCGACCCCTTAAATACAGTTTCTCATGTTGTGATGACCCCCAACCATAAAATTATTTTCCTTGCTACTTCATAACTGTAATTTTGCCACTGTTATGAATTGTGATGTAAATATCTGATATGCAGGATGTATTTTCTGCTTTGAGTCGCCCGTAGGCTGAGAAAAGCGGTATATAAATATAGTAAATAAATAAATAAAATTTTCATTCACTGGACCAAACTTGGCACAAATATCCGATACACCCAAATCTGTACACTGCTGGGGTTTGGGGAGGGGTTGATTTTGTCATTTGGGAGTTGCAGTTGCTGGGATTTATAGTTCACCTACAATCAAAGAGAATTCTGAACTCCATCAATGATGGAATTGAACCAAACTTGGCACACAGAACACCATGACCAACAGAAAATACTGGAAAGGTTTGGTGGAGATTGACCTTGTGTTTGGAGTTGTAGTTCACCTACATCCAGAGAGCACTGTGGACTCAAACAATGATGGATCTGGACCAAACTTGGCGAATACTCAGTATGCCGAATTGTGAACACTGGTGGAGTTTTGGGGAAGATAGACCCTGACATTTGGGAGCTGTAGTTTCTGGGATTTATAGTTCACCTACAATCAAAGGGCATTCTGAACCCCACCAACGATAGCATTGTGCCAAACTTCCCACAAAAATCCCCATGACCAACAGAAAATACAGTACTGTGTTTTCTGATGGTCTTTGGTGACCCCTCTGACACTCCCTTGTGACCCCCCCCCAGGGGTCCCGACCCCCAGGTTGAGAAGCACTGCCCTAGGGGAACTCAAAGCGGTTTACACATAGAAATGGCAAAATACAATGCCTTACAATAGTAAAACCACACATTAGACATAAATCGTATTAAAACAATACATCACAAAACATCAAAACAGTCATTAAAAACATAAAACAGTCTCATCGGTTGAGTCTCTGTTCCAGTCCTTGTTCTTCTAAAAAGCTGCATACATCTATTGTCTGAAGGCCTGGTCCCAGAACCATGATTTTAATTTTTTTTCTAAAAGTCAGGAGAGAGGGAGCAGATCTTACCTCCTTTGGGAGTATGTTCCATAGGTGGGGGGCCACAGCCGAGAAGGCCCTGCTCCTCGTCCCCGCCCGCCGCATTTGTGCTGTTGACGGGAGCGAGAGCAGGGCCTCCCTGGATGATCTTAAGTTGTGAGGTGGGGCATAGGGGCAGATGTGTTTGGACAAGGAAGCCGGGCCCGAACCGTATAGAGCTTTATAGGTCAAAACCAGCACTTTGAATTGGGCTCGGAGATGGACTCGCAGCCAGTGGAGCTGGCATAACGGGGGTGGTATGCTCCCTGTATGCTGCCATCCTTATCATTCTTGTGTCACATTTCCCCACATGGGGAGCTGGAACTGACAGAGGGAGCTTAAACCTTCATAGACTGCTCTCTTGGGATGTTTGGGAGAACCATAGAAAGCACTCTGCTCCTGCTTGCTAGATCTGCCACCAGTTGGATGGTGTTCGGAGGCAAAACAGAACAAATCCCAGTGCCCTCTTTGTTTTTGCATTGTTAGGGGAGTGATAGAACAGGATACTTCCTGGCAGGAATTGCAAGGGAACGTTGCCAGTAGGTTTTTATTCCTGGCCTGGCAGAGGAGTTGGGTCTGTCCTCCTTTTGGGGAAAAATACTGCTTTCGTGAGACCAAACATTCAGCACTCAGGCCTATAGAACAGTTGTTCTCTAACAACAACAATAATATAGAGTTTTTTATATATTGTACTATTGAGCTCCTACTGGCACAGCAGGTTAAACCGCTGTGCTGCTGAACTTGCTGACTGAAAGGTCGGCGGTTCAATTCCGGGGATCGGGGTGAGCTCCTGCTGTTAGGCCCAGCTTCTGCTAACCTAGCAGTTCGAAAACATGCAAATGTGAATCGATCGCTTCAGTGGGAAGGTAACTTGAGGCAATTGTGACTGATGTAATTGGCCACCTTAATTAGCATATGGAGCCCCCAGTGGCACAGTGGGTTAAACCTCTGTGCTGGCAGGACTGAAGACCAACAGGTCGCAGGTTCGAATCGGGGGAGAGGCGGATGAGCTCCCTCTATCAGCTCCAGCTCCTCATGCGGGGACATGAGAGAAGCCTCCCACAAGGATGATAAAAACATCAAATCATCCAGGCGTCCCCTAGGCAACTTCCTTGTAGACGTCCTTGTATGTGTTCTGCATACAAGTTAAAAAGGTTGGGTGAGAGTATGCAGCCTTGCCGTACGCCGTAGGGAAGGTGGAGAAAATATTAAACACTGCTGCCCCCCCCCCGCCAACAAATAGAATGTCCCATAAGAGAAGGAACCTAGCCATAAGGGCGATGGATTGGGTCATACCATTTCTCTCAGTTGGGGGGAGGGAAGGAGGAGCTTCTGCGCAGGCGCACGCAGATTCAGGGTTTCCCTTAGAAACGCTTTCGCTTCACCCGCTTCGGTCTCATTGGTCCAGGTCGGACCAATCGGGAGTCGCAAGGCTTTTTCCCTAGAAGAAATGAGTGAGCTAATAAATATGCAATGTTTATGTAAACCGTGGCATTGAGGGAAAATGAAGAGTCCGGTGAGTGAGGCGTTGCTAGGCCCAAATCCTTCTTCTCCTCCCCTGGTGTCGTTTTTCCCGGCGATTCCGAGCCTGCTGTACTGGAGCGTCTTCTCCGAGGAGTGCGAGGCGCTGGCTCTGAGGGCGGCAGCGGCGGAAGCGGAGAGGCCTACTCCTCCTCGGCCTTTTGGGCCTCTTCGGCTTCCGTCTACTATTGAGGCCGAGACGCTGACGCCGCTGTGGACGGACTCGATCCTGAGCGAGACCTTCACGCAGACGCCCTCGAGCCCCAACCGCACCTTTTGCTGCGAAGGGAAGAATGCCTCGGCCTTGGAGGCTACTTACTCAATCTGCGGCGAGGCTTCGGCCCGCTCCTCTGGGCTCTACCGCACCTTCGAAGAGGAGGCCGCGCCCCTGGTCACCTCCACGCCGGCCCCGCTGGCGGAGGAGGTGAACGCGAGGGCGGGGATTGGGAGAGGATGCTCCCAGGGGGAGGCGAGCGCGAAGAAGAGGCGCCTCTCCCCCGGAAGTAGGTCTCCAGGCTGCCCAACGCCAAAGAAAACAGCCCTCCGAGGGAAAGGCGCCCCAAGGAAGGCCTCAGGAGGAAGGCCCAAGGAGAAGGAGGGCGGCAGAGTCGCCAGGCCCAACCCGGGCAAGGTGAGAAGGGAAAGGATGGAGTTTATATTGATTTATTACTATCTGTCCCCTGCCAGGCGTTTCTGTGGCCCAGTCTGTTGATCTGGAAAATAAAGTAATGAGAAAGTGTTGGTTTCTAATATATGTAATCTCTTTCTGCTTGTGGGTAAACAGTATTTCTTGCTGTTTCTTTGTCAGTGTTGATGTGGAGAGTGTCTGGTTTGCCTACTCTGGAATATGCAACATATCATAGTCCTTCTTTAAGGGTCCCTGGGAAGCCTCCTAAGGCTGAAAAGAACTGGCAAGGGTGAGGGCAACGTGCTGGCATCTCCCTCCTCCCTTATCTCCCACTCTCCTCCAATGCTGGCATGCACACCCCCAGCACATGCACAGTTGCAATTTTCCCACTCATGTCTCGCAGATCTTATTCTAGGTCTCATGGCCCATGGTTGGAAACCATTGGGGTAGATATACCTTATAATTAAGGTATAGCTATCATAGTGAACAAGCATGGAAGTCCACAGTGGTGGGTTCATGGGTGTGGGGATTTATTTATTTATTTATTTATTTACTTTATTTGTATACCGCTCTTCTCAGCCCTTAGGCGACTCAGAGCGGTTTACAACAGTTTAGATATACAGAATACGAAATCATTATTCATTTAAAAACAATTACTAGTATTATATTGCATTACATTACAATATTATAAATATTATATGTATATACAATATATTATATTATAACATATTATTAGAATAGCACAGGAGACAAGGTGGAACTGTCCCCTGGCCCCTCTTTCTTCGCTCTGGCCCAGAGGGGTCCCCAACGGATGGCAAATCTATGATACTATTTCTTTCTCTGTGTGAATCATTATCTATCTCTCTTGTTGTTTCTTTGTCAGTAGAGATTGTCTGGTTTGTCTACTCTGGAACATGCAACATATTATTGTCCTTCTTTAGGGGTCCCTTTCAAATATATCATACTATATCTCTGTGTGTGTGTAAATCATATATATCTATCTATCTCTATGGCTCTTTGTCAGGAGGGGTCTGATTACGTTTTCTTGCCCTGATGAAGGGAGTTGGATTGGATGGCCTTAAGTATTTTCTGTTGGTCATGGGGGTTCTCTGTGGGAAGTTTGCCCCGATTCTGTCATTCGTGGGTTCAGAATGCTCTTTGATTGTAGGTGAACTGTATTTTATTTTATTTATCGTGTCATCAGCAACCAGACCATTGTATTACATTTCTAACAGAACAAAACAAACAAACAGATAAAAACCCACAAATTTTGCAAACTTGGTAGTTGATTAAATGTCCTTTGACCAGTATCTGGCCACTTGGAGTGCCTCTGGTGTTGCCGCAAGAAGGTCCTCGATCGTGCATGTGGCAGGGCTCAGGTTGCATTGCAGCAGGTGGTCAGTGGTGAATCCCAGTGACTACAATTCCCAAATGTCAAGGTCTATTTCCCCCAAACTCCATCTGTGTTCATATTTGGGCGTATTGAGTGCTTGTGCCAAGTTTGGTCCAGATCCATCATTGTTTGAGTCCACAGTGCTCTCTGGATGTAGGTGAACTACAACTCCCAAACTCAAGGTCAATGCCCACCAAACCCTTCCAGTATTTTCTGTTGGTCATGGGGATTCTGTGTGCCAAGTTTGGTTCAATTCCATCGTTGATGGAGTTCAGAATGCTCTTTGATTGTAGGTGAACTATAAATCCCAGCAACTACAACTCCCAAATGACAAATCATAATTTTTTGAGTGATGGTCACTCCTTGTGTTGTGAGACATTTTGTTGCCAAATTTGGTGTGCTTTCGTTCATTGGTTCTTTTGTTTTTAAGGTACTCATTATGCACAGAGCATTTATATATATATAGATAGCTTGGGGACCTGGCGGTGCCCGGGTTATTTGAGAAGGCATTGTTTGTTTTGTGAAGTTTGGTAATATCAGTTTGGCAATGTGTAATGCTATTTATTTTTTTTAAAAAAAACAGTCTTTTTTGTTTTTAATGAATGCTCCCATTAGGAAATCCATAAGGATGTGGGTGAACTACAATTTCTGGAATTGTGGGTCAGTCATTCCCAAACCCTGCCATTACTTAAAGTTGTGTTCTTTATTCCATACTAGCTTGGGGACCCGGTGGTTGCTGGGTTATTTGAGAAAAGCATTATTTGTTTTGCAAAGTTTGGTAATATCAGTTTAATATTGTGTAAAGCCAATCTTTCCTTTTTTTTTTTTTAATGCTCCCATTAGAAAATGGGATAAGGATGTGGGTGAACTACAATTCCCAGAATTGTGGGTCAATCCTTCCCAAACCCTGCCATTATTCAAAGTTGGCCATGTTGGGTCTGTGTGCCAAATTTGGTCGAGATCCAATATTAGCTGGGTTCAGTGATATCTAGATAAGAGAGAACTACAACTCCCAGATTCCCAGGGCAATCACGCCCAAACTCTGCCAGTATGCAGAGTTGGCCATTTTGGTGCTGTGTGCCAAATTTGGTCCAGATCCATTGTTGTCTGGGTTCAGTGCTCTCTGGATAAGGGTGAACTACAACTCCCTGATTCCCAGGACAGTCACCCACAAACCCCCCCAGTCACAAGTGAGACTGGCGGGGATGAGGGACAGAGCCTTCTCGGTGGTGGCCCCTCGCCTGTGGAATGCGCTCCCCAGGGAAATTAGGTCATCACCATCCCTCCTCTCTTTCAGAAGGAAGCTAAAGACCTGGATATGGGACCAGGCCTTTGGGTAAGCTGGCAGATGGATAAAAGACAATGACAACCAGAGCAGGAAAGGACAGTGACAATGCTGGATGGATTATGGATTTATGAATTGACGAACGTTGACCACAAGATGATTTTATTGCTGCTGTTGTTTTAATTTGACTGTTTTAATTAGTTATAACTGTCGTCGTTATATTGTAAATTGTATATTGTATTTTGTGAATTGTTGGGCATCGAATTGTGCCTTTTGTAAGCCGCCCTGAGTCCCCCTAGGGGGTTGAGAAGGGCAGGGTAGAAGCACTCCAAATAATAATAATAATAATAATAATAATAATAATAGTAGTAGTAGTAGTAGTAGGTAGGCAGCGTTTGCAGACACCTGGGTAGATAGGAGCAAAATCACCCTTCAAAATCTCACTGAAGTGTTTGTTGTTCCCGATAGATGTTTCAGTTGATTTTGCCATAAGGCAACCCTCTCAAAGGATGTTTTCTGAGTAGATGCACTCTTCTACTTCAAAGTTGTTTAATGCTTGGTTCTTTCGCTTAACAGAAGCAACTACCTTCTGGAATGAAGACTGGTTTAGCAGAAGTGCCCCAGGAGAAGAAATCTGCCCTGTCGGCTCAGCTGCATTCACATCTTGCCAGAAAGCCTCCGTTGGGTAGTTCAGTGGCCCATCAGGTTCCAAAGCTTCAGGAGGAGAACAAGCCTTCCAGAACCAAGCTCCCGGTTCCTGCAGGTTAGCTGGCTGAACTTGTGGGTGGGTTTGGGCTGGAAACAGAATTGGAATGGGCCTTACATCCCTGCTCAGTGCAGGATCTCCAGTTAAACCATCACTAGCAAGTAGTTGTCCAGTCCACACCCTTTCTGAAAACACCCAGAAGTGAAGACCCTCCACTTCTCTAGGCAATTGGTTCCATTGCTGAACCACTCTTGCTGTCAAGAAGATCCTTGTACTGTTCAATCAAAATCTGTCTAAAACCACTAGACCTGGTTTTATCCCAGGAGGCAACAGAGGGCAAGCCTGCACCCTTCTCTTTGTATTTAAGGCATTTAGAGAGTGTAATCAACTTATATGTGTTGTTCTCTAGTCATGTTATTGTCCTCATTGCCCTTCTCTGAACTTCCTCCAAGTTGGATCCAATTTAGACTCCTTGTGACAAAAGCGTGAGACCTAAACTACAAAAAGAATATCACGCTTCTCCATAAGCTGCTTTTATTTAAGCGATAGCTCAGGTTGTACATCAATACCTCTTCTTTAGTAGCCAAGTCTTTGTCAAGTGGCAAGACTAGGCTGCATGTAGGAGCAGGTTGAGGAAAGAGAGTAAAGGGCCTACGTATCAGAGGGTGGGAAGGAGGAAAGATCTGGGTGGAGTTTTCAAGGGCTTTACCTAAGCTCTTGGTAAGTGCAGTGACCTATTATTACGTTTATGCTTATTTCTACCCCACTTTTTCTCTCCATAAAGGAGACTCAGAACAGCCTCGATCAGTATTAGAAGTAGGAACCAATAGTTGCTTAGGCGGTACCTCTTTTTCCGAGGATGATTGTCTTCCAGTGTTCTTGTGGGTCTGTATGTGGCTGTGGAGCCCTATTCTTGCTCTGCATCTTCTTCCGCAGTGAGGGCATTGGTTTCCAGGTGGAAGGCGGTCTCGGTCGGGGTTGGCTTGACGCGCCTTCCTCTTGGCACGCTTCTCCTTTTCGCCCTCCATTCGTGCCTCTTCAAATTCTGCAGCACTGCTGGTCACAGCTGACCTCCAGCTGGAGCGCTCAAGGGCCAGGGCTTCCCAATTCTCAGTGTCTATGCCAGAGTTTTTAAGGTTGGCTTTGAGCCCATCTTTAAATCTCTTTTCCTGTCCACCAACATTCCGTTTTCCATTCTTGAGTTCGGAGTAGAGCAACTGCTTTGGGAGACGGTGGTCGGGCATCCGGACAACGTGGCCGGTCCAGCGGAGTTGATGGCGGAGGACCATCGCTTCAATGCTGGTGGTCTTTGCTTCTTCCAGCACACTGACGTTTGTCCGCTTGTCTTCCCAAGAGATTTGCAGGATTTTCCGGAGGCAGCACTGATGGAATCGTTCCAGGAGTTGCATGTGACGTCTGTAGACAGTCCACGTCTCACAGGCATATAGCAGGGTTGTGAGGACAATAGCTCTATAAACAAGCACCTTGGTATCCCTAGGAACCAATATGTCCTCATTTATATGTCTAGTTCAGAGCACTGTACTTTCATCGGCCATGTACTGGATGCAAAACAAAATGTTAGAGCTTTTTTAAATAAAACCACAAAAAACAACAACATATGCTTCTGTTTTACTAGCTGGAGGCCCCAAGACAAGCAAGATGGGAGTCCAGAAACCTCCCAAAGAGAAAGAACTGAAGACGGAATCAAACCAGAAGCAACTCATAGCTAAGAGCTTGTCTCAAAGTGCAGGTGAGGTTAGAAGTCTTTAACTGCGGCATAGAATCATAATTCTGGCTCCAAGTTATATGATGATGACTGGGGAAGCAAGTATTAACGGACTGGATGAGGGACACGGACTGGATGAGGGACAACAGATTGAAACTAAATCCAGACAAGACAGAGGTACTCCTGGTCAGTCGTAAGACCGAACAGGGTACGGGGTTACAGCCTGTGTTGGACGGGGTCACACTCCCCCTAAAAGCACAGGTACGCAGTCTGGGAGTTCTCCTGGATTCATCGCTGAGCCTGGAACCCCAGGTTTCAGCGGTGGTCAGGGGAGCTTTCGCACAATTAAAACTTGTGCGCCAGCTGCGTCCGTACCTTGGGAGGGCTGACTTGGCCACGGTAGTACACGCTTTGGTTACATCCCGCTTAGATTACTGCAACGCTCTCTACGTGGGGTTGCCTCTGAAGACTGCCCGGAAGCTGCAGCAAGTACAACGCGCGGCAGCCAGATTACTAACGGGTGCTGGGTACAGGGAGCACACCACTCCGCTGTTACTCGAACTCCACTGGCTGCCGATTAGCTTCCGAGCACAATTCAAAGTGCTGGTGTTAACCTATAAAGCCCTAAACGACTCCGGCCCTGTTTACCTCTCCGAACGTATTCTCCCCTACGAACCATCAAGACCACTAAGATCGTCTGGAGGGGCCCTGCTCTCGGTCCCTCCGCCTGCACAAGCACGGCTGGTGGGGACGAGGGACAGGGCCTTCTCGATGGTGGCCCCTCGACTTTGGAACTCCCTGCCATTAGAGATCAGAACTGCCCCCTCCCTCATGACGTTCAGGAAACTAACAAAGACCTGGTTGTGAAACGCGGCATTTGACAACTGATTTAATTCTTTGCCCACATGAAAGGAGGATGATGAATGGGATTGTGATGGTGTCGGACGATTTGGCTCTTTTAACTGGGATGATAATGTTTTAATGTGTATGGTGCTGATATTTTAATCGTGTAATGAAGTGGCATTGTGTTGTTATTGTATATTTTTTTGTATGTTAACACATGTTGTGAACTGGTCCGAATCCCTCTTTGAAGGTGAGAGGGTCGGTATATAAAACCTCGAAATAAATAAATAAATAAATTAAAAGCAGAGACAATGTTGACAAATAGTGGGATATTAAATGCTCTGTAGTGCTCCTTTCTAATCCACTATATTGCAGCTGTTCTTTACCTTTGAGAGTTAAGTCCTCTCCAGACAAGGTTGTTCCTCCAGCGCCACATCAGAGTGCCTTATTTCTTTCTGGATTACATTAGTCAGCTTTGCTAGGAATTGAAATGTATTCTGGCCTAGAAAATAGCCGTTTGAGAGGCTTTATTTTCTGGTGTAGAGGTGACTTATCACCAGCAGAGGGAAGCAACAGTCTAAATAATCTTTCAAAGAGAATAGGAAGACCATTGAATATTGTGGCGCACTGCATGGTGTAGATCAAACCAGAAATTAATCTGTCAATAGCATACCCACCCCCCAATTTCCACAGCAGGATTTCTTTACAGAGCAGGCAGCATTTCAAACTAAGCTAGTGGTTACTTTCCAATGGCCAAAGTCACACAAGGAATGCAAAATATGGAGGTGAGCAAAATAAATGGCTAGAATCAACTGATGCTTTTCATGACATCAGGGAGTACAGCTTGTGAATATGAATTAATCACCTGAGATGTTGGGTAGTAGTGTCAAGCATATAGTATCTCTTGTGCAGCACAAATCCAGGCTGTGGGTCTCCATTTGCATGGGACCAAAGCTGAAAAATGACATATGTTGATTTCAGGCCTGGATGGGAGGCGTACAGGTGGAGCTTTGATGCCAGTGGGACAGATCCCCAGGGATGCTCCAGGGCATGCATCTTGTTTGCAGGTAAGACCAGGAAGAATTTATCATGCAACTTTATAGAATCATAGAATAATAGAGTTGGAAGAGTCCACATGGGCCATCCAGTCCAACCCCCTACCAAGAAGCAGGAAAACAAAGTATCCCTGACAGATGGCCAGACAGCCTCTCTTTAAAAGCTTTGAAGGAAGGAGCTTCCACCATACTCCGAGGCATAGAGTTCCACTGCTGAACTGCTCTTACAGCCAGGAAGTTCTTGCTAATATTCAGGTGGAATCTCCTTCAACTAATGAAAAAAAAAACCCCAATATAAACAGAAAAATATATGTTCAGAAATAAGTGCGTGATCCAGAACTCCTGGTATATTTTTGCTCAGCTTAGAGCAGCGTTTCTCAACCTGGGGGTAGGACCCCTGGGGGGGGGAGGGATAGGGCTTTCTCGGTGGTGGCCCCCCGACTCTGGAACTCTTTCCCTAAGGACATGAGGCAGGCCCCGTCGCTAGCAATCTTTAGGAGGAGCTTGAACATGTGGTTGTTCCAGTGTGCCTTTCCAGAATAAGGAAACTCCTAGCATTATGTCCCATCACACTTTATCAGAGATCTAGGATATCTGCATGCCCATCCCCCTCCAAACACTCCACCTGGTCACGCCCAGCACTTTTTAATTTTAATTATTACATTTGGCCCTGCCATTGATTTTAATTGCGTCATTGTGTGTTGTTAATGTCATTGCTTCGTATTTTGAGTTATTTTGCTGTTGTTATTGTTTTTACTATTGTATTTGGGCTCGGCCTCTTGTAAGCCGCACCGAGTCCTTCGGGAGATGGTAGCGGGGTACAAATAAAGATTATTATTATTATTATTATTATTATTATTATTATGGTTAGCCCGAATATAAGCTGAGGCACCTCATTTTACAACAGAAAACTGGGAAAACAGATTGACTCAAGTATAAGCCGAGGGTGGGAAATGCAGCAGCTACTGGTAAATTCCAAAATAAAAATAGATACCAATAAAATTGCATTAATTGAGGCATTGGTAGGTTAAATGTTTTTGAATAAAACTGTAAGTTAAGATAAGACTGTCCTCTGATTAAAGCATTATTCTAACCTTCTTCAGTGTAAATGTGTTTACATATCCTTCCAATAATAATAGAGTAAAATAATAAATGTAATAATAATAATAATAATAATAATAGAGTAATAATAATAATAATAATAATAATAATAATAGAGTAAAATAATAAAAAACCTTGACTCGAGTATAAGCCGAGGGAGACTTTTTCAGCTTAAAAAAAGGACTAAAAAACTAGGCTTATACTCGAGTATATACAGTATTATTAATAGGCAGTAGATGATATGACAGTAGTCTCCCAAAAAGCCTCATCCAGACTTTGGAACGAATAATGCCAGAATAGCAGCCCTACAGTACAGATTGTTTTTACTGGGTGAATCCAATGCCTGGAATCCTACTTACCTCATGCTTGTGAGGGGACTGTCTTCCTTTCACCATCCAGAACAAGGGAAAGACAGTCAAGATCTTGGACCACACATTGGATTTTTGATCCGTCCCATGTTGGAGGTTTCGCATTGGTTAATAGCCTGCTTGGTGAGAAAACCAAGCTAGTTATACACAACCTTGTGAAATGGCAGAATACTTTGCTGACACAGTCTTTCCATGCACCCTCAGTGTCAACGGCTGCTTCGGGAAAACCAGCTCCTGGCTGAAGAAATTCAGCACCTGAAGACCCTACTGGAAAGCTACCAGGGAACCTCTTCTTGAACATCTTACATTCAATGACAGACCTTGTCCCTTGTGTTGTAGCACATACTGATGTGGGGACCTTGCCATCTCTTGCTGGGTTGTCTGTGCTAATTTTTTATTTCCTGCATTTGTACCCTGCCCTTCTCACCCCTGGGGGGGAGGGGGTTGAAGTCCAAAAGACCTGGAGGGAGGGCTGAAGATGGTCTACATCAGGCTTGAGCAAACTTCGGTCCTCCAGGTGTTTAGGACTTCAACTCCCACAATTCCTAACAGCTGGTAGTTGAAGTCCAAAACACCTGGAGGGCCAAAGTTTGCCCATTCCTGCTTTATATGCACCTCAAGTGTGCATGGCTAAAGTGCTCACCTGTGCATTTATATTGGAAGATTTTGACTCATATATAGAAGATTCACTGGCGTACATCCCATAAATGCATGTTGAGCAATTCCTGCTATGTATATATTATTTAGTTAACACAAAAATTACAGGAGATATAGAAGGCCTTTTCCAAATAGAAATATTTTGCACGTTAAACCTCAAAATGAAGCCCTTTTAATATTTGCACAACAATCATGAAGGCATATGCTGCCAAATGTCACTAGCCAGGTGACAGCCATCATCTTTCATTCACATCTGCTGCTACTGAGTTTATGTATCGTAAACAGTATTTTTCTGAGTAAGTTAACAGAAAAGTGAAAGTTGTGTGGCACCTTCAAGACGAATGAAGTTTATTGTGATGCAAGGAATTTTTTATTGTGCGTTGAAACTTTATGAGATGTGTGAAGGTTTCTCCTGTAACTAACAATTTTGTATATAAAAATGCTTTTAGAGAGATTTATTATTAAATGACAATTGGTAAAATTTCTTTTCTTTGTATTGTTTATGATGGTGTTTCATGTTCAAAAATTACCCTGAAGAAGGAACTTGATTCCTGACTATAGGACTACAGCCCTGTGTTCGCTTAACAAGGTATAGTAGGTCTGCATGCAAATGCATCCGAGGCCCAGCCCTACAGAATCCTGAGCCCCGCAGAACCCTTTCTACACTGCCATATAATCCAGATTATCAAAGCAGATAATCAACAATATCTGCTTTGAACTGGATTATATGTCAGGATCACAGTATCCGCCTGGGACTGACTGCTTTGGTTCCCTGCCATAAAGAAGGGAGGTGAGGGGGAGGGAGGCTGGGTGCAGTTGAGGAAGGTAGTATAAATAAGACATCTGTTTTTGTGAAGGAAATTGAAACTGCAGTGAACAGACTGTGGGCACAGTAGGTTCTTGTGGGTTTTTTCGGGCTATAGGGCCATGTTCTAGAGGCATTTCTCCTGACGTTTCGCCTGCATCTATGGCAAGCATCCTCAGAGGTAGTGAGGTCTGTTGGAATTAGGACAATGGGTTTATATATCTGTGGAATGGCTGGGGTGGGGCAAAGAGCTCTTCTCTGCTAGAGCTAGGTGTGAATGTTTCAACTGACCACCTTCATTAGCATTTGAAGGCCTGCCTGAGCCTGGGAAAATCTTTTGTTGAGAGGTGTGGGCACAGTGTTTGGCCACTAGAGGGTGGATGGGAGTTGGGATTAATATATACAGGCGGTTTGAACAGGAAAACTTTAGAACTGTCTTTTTAGGATTGTGGAAAGAATAAACCACTTGTCTCCAACATTTTCTTGTTGTGAGCTTGATTTTAATTCTTTAAGAATTTCCAGAGTCTGACATTATATTAGTCTATACTGGGGCCCCAGATGGCGCAGCGGGTTAAACCGCTGCACTGTTGAACTTGCTGACCAAAAGGTTGGCGGTTCAAATCCGGTGAGCGGAGTGAGCTTCCGCTGTTTGGCCCAGCTTCTGCCAACCTAACAGTTTATAAACATGGAAATGTGAGTAGGTCAATAGGTATTGCTTCTACAGGAAGGTAACGACGCTCCATGCAGTCATGACCTTGGAGGACTCTACAGACAACGCTAGCTCTTCAGCTTAGAAATGGAGATGAGCACCAACCCCCAGAGTGGGACACAACTAGACTCAGTGTCAGGGGAAAGCTTTACCTTTACCTTTCAATGGGAAAACCTTAGAACTGTCTTTTTAGGATTGTGGAAAGAAGGAATAAACTACTTGTCTCCAGTAATTTATTATTGTGAGCTTGAGTTTAACTCCAAGATCTTCCAGAGTCTGACATTATATGAGTCTACATTGGGCCCCCTGGTGGCGCAATGGGTTAAACTGCTGAACTGTTAAACTTGCTGACCAAAAGGTTTGCCGGTTAGAATCCAGTGAGCAGAGTGAGCTTCCGCTGTTTGGCCAACCTAACAGTTTAAAAACATGCAAAGGTCGATAGGTACTTCTTCTACAGGAAGGTAACGATGCTCCATGCAGTTATGCTAGCTACATGACCTTGGAGGAGTCTATGGACAATGCCAGCTCTTCATCTTAGAAATGGAGATGAGCATCAACCCCCCAGAGTGAGACACAACTAGACTCAATGTCAGGGGAAAGTTTTACCTTTACCTTTAAGTGGGAAAACTTTAGAACTGTCTTTTTAGGATTGTGGAAAGAAGGAATAAACCACTTGTCTCCAGCAATTTATTGTTGTGAGCTTGATTTTAACTTCAACTTCTTCCAGAGTCTGACATTATATGAGTCTGCACTGCCATAAAATCCAGGTCAAAGCAAATAATCTGGATTTTATATGGCAGTGTAGAAAAGGCCTCAGTTGCTGCACAGACTCTGATATCCCCCCCCCCCCCTTCCTGGGAAAGCTTGATTCCACAACCCAGGCCCATAGCCAGGATTTCGTTTCGGGGGGAGGCTGAATTTTTTTCAGGGGGGGTTTCGGGGGGGCTGAGTTTCGGGGGGCTGAGTCTGAGTGAAAGAGGGTCTAGCCTAGCAAACCTTTTGTATCATTACCCCAATACCCCCATGCATATGGGATATATTGAGTATGGTGATCAGATCATGATATGAATAAACATAACAGTTTAAATAATGCCCAGTAAGGCCTTTTCGCGAACCACCATGAGAATTTCGGGGGGGGGGGCTGAAGCGCCCCGAGGCCCCCCCCCCCCCGGCTACATGCCTGCCACAACCCTTTCTATAATGAGCCCTCCTCCACAAATAACCTGCTTCTCTTTTATCTCGCCCGAGTTTTTAATTAGTTCTTTTTTAATCATTACATGTAGCCCGCCCATGGTCATTGTGTTTTGTGCTTATTGTAAATTTATATTGTTATGTATTCACATGTTTTATGTAATCACGATGTTGTTGTTATTGTTTGCGTTTTCGGTTTTTCTTTATTGTAATTGTTGTTCAGGCTTGGCCTCATGTAAGCCGCTCCGAGTCTCCAATGGGGAGATGGTGGCGGGGTATAAATAAAGATGATAATGATGTTGATGATGATTATTATTATTACCATTATTATGCAGAGTCAGTCTGGACCTTATGGAAAGTGTAGTGCTCTGATGACGAAGTGTAGTGTTGGATTAGGGGACTTGAGAGCTTTTGGGCTTGAGTGTTACCAGTATGCTGATGACACTCAGCTGGTGCTGAAGATGGAAGGCCGACCGGACTCTGTACCCGATTGTTTCCATCAGTGCCTCGAGGCCATTACTGGATGGCTGCGTGCCAGCAGGTTGAGGGTGAATCCAGCAAAGACGGAGATCCTATGGCTGGGTCAACCGGGCAGTGGGGATATCCAGCTGCCTACCCTGGATGGCAAGGCGCTACACCCGTCATCATTGGTAAAGAGTCTGGGAGTCCTTTTGGACCCTCTGCTGACGATGGAGGCCCAGGTCTCCGCCGTTAGCAGTACCGCCTTTTTTCATCTGCGGCAGGCTAGACGGCTGGCCCCCTCCCTGTCCAGGGACGACCTAGCTACGGTGATCCAGGCCACGGTCATCTCAAGACTGGACTACTGTAACGCCCTCTACATTGGCCTCCCTCTGTCGGTGATTCGGAAGCTCAAGTTGGTACAAAATGCAGCTGCTCGGCTTCTTGTGGGAATTCCGATGAGATGCCACATAACACCAATCTTACTACAGCTGCATTGGTTACCAATTGAGCACCGGATCACTTTCAAAGTGATGGTACTCACCTTTAAGGCCTTGCATGGTCTGGGGTCGATGTACCTGAGGGACCGCCTCACCCCCTACCAACCCCAGAGATCCCTCCGTTCTGAGGACCAAGATCTATGGGAAATTCCCAGTGTCAAGACCTTGCATCTAACAGCAACCAGACGCAGAGCCTTTACAGCAGTGGCACCATCACTCTGGAATACTCTGCCACCTGAAGTCCGTGCCTTGCGGGACTTATCAGCTTTCCGCAGGGCATGTAAGACATACCTGTTTCGACAGGCCTTTGATCTTTGATATTGCTGTTTTTAAATTGTTTTAAATTCTGTTAGATTTTAGCCATTCTTGTAAGCCGCTCCGAGCCCCAGGGGAGTGGCAGCATATAAGTTCAAATAATAAATAAATAAATAAAAACTTACTTGGATTAGTCACATTCTCTCAGCGTAAAAGGCAATGGAATCTGCCAATTAAACTCCAGGGTTGCGATAAATCCGGGCCAGCCTGAAAGCATGTGATACATCTGTTCCCATCCCTCCCCACTAACCCCTCTGGCACAGTCTTGCACACAAATCCCACTGCAACCCCAGTGTAACAATACTTTTTTATTTGGTCCCACAAATTGAACAAGATGCCACATTCAAGTTACAGATAACTCTTATTCACATATGGACGTTCACATTGGAAACAGCGATGTTCTGCTACAAGTCCACCCCCACAGCTTGGAGCTCCAGGGTTTTCAAAGTCCCCCAACCCTCCTTTCCATCCACGAAAGATTAAATGCTTCGAACGGTATGGAGTTTTTGCCTTCTGCCTGTGTCTCCAAGCATCTTGTGACTGACTTATGCATTGTGTCACAAGACTAGGCCAGAGCTTGGTTAAGAGGCTTTGAAAGATTTCTGTGCGAAGAAGGGGTTTGGCACTGGTCCAGCTTTGAGAGAGCCTTGCCACGGGCCTCTCTTTGGAGTGTGTCTGCATGTCAACGTTATTTGGCTTTGCTTGGAAGCCCCAAAATGATTTCTCCTTTGGCGGCTAACTCTGTTTGGGAAAAGTCAGGTCGTGCCAGTACCTCTCTTCTCACTATCAGTGGTTCTCAACTTTCCTAATGCTGCGACCCCTTAATACTGTTCCTCATGTTGTGGTGACCCCCAATCACAATATTATTTTTGTTGCTACTTCATTACTGTAATTTTGCTACTGTTACAAGTCGTAATGTAGATATCTGATATGTAGGATGTATTTTCATCCACTGGACCAAATTTGGCATTTGAAATTTGTAGTTCATTTTTGTCATTTGGGAGTTGTAGTTGCTGGGATTTATGGTCCACCTACAATCAAAGAGCATTCTGAACTCCACCAATGATGTAATTGAAACAATTTTAGCACACAGAACTCCCATGACCAACAGAAAATACTAGAAGAGTTTGGTGGGCACTGACCTTGAGTTTTAGAGTTGTACTTCACTTACATCCAGAGAGCAGTGTGGACTCAAACTATGGATCTGGACCAAACTTGGCACGAATACTCCATATGCCCAAATGTAAACACTGGTGGAGTTTGGGGAAAATAGACCTTGACATTTGGGAGTTGTAGTTACTGGGATTTATAGTTCACCTACAATCAGAGCATTCTGAACCACACCAACGATAGAATTGGGCCAAACTTCCCACATAGAACCCCGTGACCAACAGAACATACTGTGTTTTCTGATGGTCTTTGGCGACCACTCTGACACCCCCTGGCGATCCCTCCAGGGGTCCCGACTCCCAGGTTGAGAAATGCTGCACTAGATGCTTTAAAAGTAGGTGTGTCTGCTTAACATTTTAGTTTGGTGGGGTTACACTTTTACTAAGCATGTCCCCCCAGTCTTCACACAACTCAGTGCATTTTGAATTCAATACAGTCCATAAAAAAGCGAGACCGGAGCAAATTGGAAAAAAAAAACTTTGCATTTCGGGAGGTTTTTTTTTTTTCCAAGCTGGGAAAATGTGTGGGAGAAAGCATTTCATAAAACATCTTCCACCTCAAGACTGGAGCCAGTGGTTCTTTATTAACTTAATCTGCTGTCTGTTCTGTCGGAACTGATTTACCACAGATAAGGATCTGGCAGCCATGCCGTCATTGTGCTTGGGGCGCTGGCCAAGTGGATGAGCCTGTAAGATTCCTATGGCTCCAGTTATTGGTAATCTGATGAAATACTCAAGGGATGCCATCTTAAATTTATTATTGCCCACATTTCTCTTGTCTGCCCAGCAGCATGAGACTTTCTCTAGAAGTTCATCAGGTATCATTACTATAGGAACTGTCTTACAATAGCAGCCATCTTGTAAAAGCAAGTGGGTGTATTCAGTCTTTCTCCCTCTTTATATATATATATATATATATATATAACACACACATTCATACACACACACTAGCCATCCCCTGCCACGCGTTGCTGTGGCCCACATGGGGGTTCTGTGTGGGAGGTTTGGCCCAATTCTATCGTTGGTGGGGTTCAGAATGCTCTCTGACTGTAGGTGAACTATAAATCCCAGCAACCACAACTCCAAAATGTCAAGATTCTATTTTCCCCAAACTCCACCAGTGTTCACATTTGGGCATGTGGAGTATTTGTGCCAAGTTTGGTCCAGATCCATCATTGTTTGAGTCCACAGTGCTCTCTGGATGTAGGTGAACTACAACTCCAAAACTCAAGGACGATGCCCAGCAAACCCTTCCAGTATTTTCTGTTGGTCATGGGAGAACTGTGTGCCAAGTGTGGTTCAATTCCATTGTTGGTAGAGTTCAGAATGCTCTTTGATTGAACTATAAATCCAAGCAACTATATTATTATTTGTCATGTCAGGAGCAACTTGAGAAACTGCAAGTCGCTTCTGGTGTGAGAGAATTGGCCGCCTGCAAGGACGTTGCCCAGGAGACGCCCGGATGATTTTATGTTTTTATCATCCTTGTGGGAGGCTTTTCTCATGTCCCCGCATGAGGAGCTGGAGCTGATAGAGGGAGCTCATCCGCCTCTCCCCGGATTCGAACCTGCGACCTGTCGGTCTTCAGTCCTGCCGGCACAGGACTTTAACCCACTGCGCCACCGGGAGCTCCTTATCCAAGCAACTACAACTCCCAAATGACAAAATCAATCCCCTCCAACCTCAGCAGTATTTAAATTTGGGCGTATGGGGTATTTGTGCCAAATTTGGTCCAGTGAATGAAAATACATCCTGCATATTGGATATTTACAATTCATAACAGTAGCAAAATTACAGTTACGAAGTAGCAACTAAAATAATTTTATGATTGGGGGGTCACCACAACATGAGGAACTGTATTAAGGGGTCATGGCATTAGGAAGGTTGAGAAACACTGCTTTAGAGGCTATTTCTTTCTGGAGAAGCAAAGAGGGGAGGTGATTGGCTCAAACCAAAAATAAGACAAGAACTCAAGGGCACCAGGATCTGTTCTTAGAGGGCATCCCTTTGCAAGTGTGATGAAGAAAGACTTCTGTCTTAACTGGTATTGGAAAGAAGCTGGCCCCACAAACACCTCTTTGCCAATATCATAATTTCCTCATTTGCTCTCAGTTTTTTATTAGCTGCCAGAATAGGACCGCTCCATAACAGAGTATAATCTGCATGCCCAAACCAAGGCAAGCTTACATTGAAAATTTTCGACTTGAGAAATGCCGGCACAACCTAACCTTAAAGCTCGCTTCCACCTTGCTCTTTGAACTCATGTCCCCAAAAATATCGGGAGACAAAATATTGGAAAGAGGCTAGAATAGGAGCTCCAAAGTCCAAACAGGTTTGGGGCTTCTGTTCTGGGCAAAGAAGCCATACAGCTCTGCAAAGCAGGTCACCAAGGGCCTCGTTCGTTCCAGATGTCCTTCTGTTTTGGTGGCTGTGTATTATAGCTGCTCATATGCAAAAAAAAAGAGGGATCTAAGAATGTGTTTGACCTATAGCGGTGCCACAAGAAGTTGTCCCCTTCTAGAGAATGAAGCATTAGGCCCTTTTGCATGTGACAACATACCCCAGGAACATGATTTCTGCATCAGGGATAGCTGCCAACCAGTGCAACGCTTTGCAACGGTGATAGTTTGTATGGGAAGGCATCTGCACCACAATGTTTCCCGGTTCATACAACTGTCATGGCTATGCCCTACAGAACTTGGATTTTAGTGGGCTACTGTGCGTTTTTCGCGTTGTACGGCCATGTTCCAGAAGCATTCTCTCCTGACGTTTCACCCACATCTATGGCAGGCATCCTGAGGATGCCTGCCATAGATGTGGGTGAAACGTCAGGAGAGAATGCTTCTGGAACATGGCCATACAACGCGAAAAATGCACTGCAACCCAGTGATTACGGCCATGAAAGCCTTCGACAACACTCAAACGACAATAATCATGTTCTGTCGCTACACTGTAGGCTACATAAAACTGATTTAAGATTTCAAGGCCACTGAATATTCAATTTTAATTATGTATGCCTTCAGTTTAAAGCACCACAACCCATATTGTCCTTTAAAAATACTGAATCTGTAATTAATTGACTTGTTAGCAAGAGGGGATGCTTTCAGAACTTTGCCCTGAATGAATCTGCAGCGGAAGCTAAATTGGAACTGTAACCAGCCGCTGTCCCCAGCTTCCCATTGGACTTAACTATCAAACTGGGGTTTGCCCCATCCCTGAACTAATTCTGTAGAGCAGTGGTTCTCAACCTGTGGGTTCCCAGATGTTTTGGCCTTCAAGAAATCCTAATAGCTGCTAAACTGGCTTGGATTTCTGGGAGTTGTAGGCCAAAACACCTGGGACCCACAGGTTGAGAAGCACTGTTGTAGAGCTTACTGGAGGTCGTGGCATTAGCTCACACTGAGGATCCAATGGGTTTTCTGGAGAACTAAACTGTCAGCAGACAAAAGGAATGAGTTGGACATATCAAAATATATCTTTTTTTTTTCTTTCCTTCCTTTAAAAAAAGGTCCTTTGGAGTGGTAACTGTACAAAACACATAATGTTTCTCACAACAATATACAAACAATATTTTTAAAAAGGAAAACAAACAAAAAAAAAGGCTTCTAGCCCCACAGTTTTGAGATCCAATTTTGGACAGATATCTGACACATCCATGTACGTCTTAAGACACAAGAAAGGCAACTTCTGGCCAAACAATAAATACAGACATTGGGCTGTTTGGGCAGCTTAGCTGCTTGGTGTTGGCTCCCCGCAGGAAGGCCTTGGGAATGGGATTATGCGCCTAGGGTCAGCCCTGCATTGGTTTTCTGAGCCTTGCCAGCAGGGTCAAGGCTGGGCCCTTGAGTCTGGCCCACCTCCTGCTCCGTGTTGGCATTAGTGGCTTCCCTTGCAGGGCGATCCTGGATGCAAGTTTACTGTACCTTGCGGGAGGGACTATATAACCCTGCCCAGGATTCTGGTATCGATACGTGGAGCAAAGGAAGAGGTGACAAGACAAGAACTCAAGGGCACCACAGTGAGCGCAAAGGAAGATTCCCCTTCTCTTCCTCATATCTCTCTGTCCTGGCTCAAGTCAGAATTGGCACTATTCAGAGGTTTGGTGACAGCGGCAGAATACTGTCGGGCAGCCTCTCCTTCCTGGCTGTGCTGGATCCCATAGCCAAAATAGATGGCGAAGCCTGGAAAGGAAATGGGGGAGGACTTGTGGTCACAACGTCATCGGCAGCCTCCTGTTCCTTTATTTCAAGACCCCCCCAATTCACCCAAGCAATGGCTGCAGCATCCGAGACACAGCTCCCAAATTGGAACCTGGAGCACAGCTACAGTGTTGATCTTACCGATGGCCATCCAGACAGCAAATCGCACCCACGTTCCTGCGTCCAGCTGCATCATGAGATAGACATTCACCAAGATACTGAAAAGTGGAAGCAGGGGCAAGCCAGGCACCTGGAGAGGGAGAATCACACAACATAGTACTGTTTGTTAGTCCAATACCTGCAGGAAGAACTCTTGAGAGGCAGTATCAGCTTTCCAAGTTTCATAAAATCAAAGAGTTGGAAGAGACCTCATGGGCCATCCAGTCCAACCCCCTGCCAAGAAGCAGGAATATTGCATTCAAAGCACCCCTGACAGATGGCCATCCAGCCTCTGTTTAAAAGCTTCCAAAGCAGGAGCCTCCACCACACTCCGGGGCAGAGAGTTCCACTGCTGAACGGCTCTCACAGTCAGGAAGTTCTTCCTCATGTTCAGATGGAATCTCCTTTCTTGTAGTTTGAAGCCATTGTTTGCATCCTAGTCTCCAAGGAAGCAGAAACAAGCTTGCTCCCTCCTCCCTGTGGCTTCCTCTCACATATTTATACATGGCTATCATATCTCCTCTCAGCCTTCTCTTCTGCTGGCTAAACATGCCGAGTTCTTGACGCCGCTCCTCACAGGGCTTGGTCTCCAGACCCTTGATCATTTGGACACACCCTCCTCTGGACACATTCCAGCTTGTCAACATTTCCCTTCAATTGCAGTGCCCAGAATTGGACACAGTGTGATTCCAAGTGTGGTCTAACCAAGACAGAATAGAGGGGAAGCATGACTTCCCTAGATCTAGACACTATGCTCTGATTGATGCAGGCCAAAATCCCATTGGCTTTTTTTGCTGCCACATCACATTGTTGGCTCATGTTTAACTTGTTGTCCACGAGGACTCCAAGATCTTTTTCAAACATGGAGAATCCACTATCTTCCAACAACTCTTGCTATCAGGAAGCTTTTCCTAATACTTAGGTCAAGCAGTGGAAACCAAACTTGTTCTGCATGAGAGTCCTAAGAGATGGCTTCCCAATCTCCTCTTCAAGAAAGTTGGGCAAATATGCCAGCAGTTTTTAGTTCAAAAGAAACTGCTCCCCTCCAGAGGAACAGTGGACATGATATAATCATAATCATCATCATCATCATCTTTATTTATACCCCGCCACCATCTCCCCAACAAAATAAAACCAGAACATAAAGAAAAAAATATAAACACAAGTCATAAAATAACATTCCAATAAACACAATCACAATAACAATAGCAAAAGCATTCTGTTTCCCTTGGGAAACCTCTCAGAGTCACTCTGAGACCCCATCTGAGTCACAACACTATCAGTCTGTGTCTGTGGTTCCAGCTGAGTCACAACAGATATTTCAGCATGAACAAGAAGGCATGGCACAGGCGTGAAAACTAAACGTTGGACTCACTGAAGAGTATAGATTCACGGGCCCTATATTTATTCAGAAAGCCATAGGAAAAACATTCTGTTTCCCTTGGGAAACCTCTCCCAGACCCCTTTTTTCTCTTAACCTTTCTGAGTGCCTCCTCCCTAAATCCAGGTGGTGATCCTGATAAATTTGTCTTTTGCGATCAAAGATGGCCTCCTCCGGTTTGTTCATTAGTACATTCCTTTCACTATCTCTATCTAACCTTGACTGTTCGGCCTCAGCCTCTTTCTCAGACTGCCTCAAGACATCTTTGCTTTGTGAACCAACGATCCCATTATCCTCCATTTCACTCTGGCTAACTGTAATTTCTTGTCCTTCATCTGCATTCATAAACCCGTGAGAATCAACAGAAACCTGATCATTTAAGTCAGACATGGGAACCTCTGAAGTGCCATGATCATTCTCCTTTGAGTCCTGTGGCAAAGAGGCTGAACCCCTATAGTAAGTTCAAAGCTATAACTGCTGACATCTCATTTCAGTCCGCCATACCTCTGGCAAAAGGGTGGGATCCCAGACTGTATCCCTTTGGCTTTGTCCCACACAATCCTTTCAAAGACCGGTTTGACCAAAGGAAAAGCCCCCTTTACCTTGAAAGTGAGCTCTGCCTTACTCTCCGGCTGCCTCCAGATGACAATGGTGAAAAAAAGGGAAATGATGAGGAGAACCACGCAGGCGACGATGCAGCCGATGTCGCCTTCCAAGAGAGCCAACCCTTTTTGTGCTAGAATGCCACACAGGGCAGTGATCATGATAGCTGCAAGGGAAAAAGTGTAAAAATTAAAGCCAATTTAAACAGACTGAAAGCCAAAACCAAGGTTACAACAACATCTGTTATAGAACTCCAGTATGCTGATGATAATGTTGTCTGTGCGCATTCAGAAGGAGATCTACAAGCCACTCTAAACAACTTCGCAGAAGCATACATGAAGCTTGGCCTGTCACTGAACATCGAGAAATCAGTTTGGTACAAATCCTTCAAACCATGCCCTAAGCCATGTTTGAAGTTGGTGCTGGAGAGAAGCTAATGTCAGTAGCAATCAAGCAATTCAATGAGAGGCACTCCTTCCCCCAAAAGTTGTCTTTCACTCACAGAAGCCCCTGTCTCAGTGTTTCTCAACCTGGGGGTCAGGACCCCTGTAGGGGTCGGGAGGGGGTTTCAGAGGGGTCGCCAAAGACCATCAGAAAAGACCATCAGAAACCTCTTTGGCAAAAAAGGCTGAAGATCTCTCCACCTGTCCTTCTCTTCCTTTTTTGGAAACTGAGGGCAAATCCTCCCACCAAAGGCCCTTCTCTGCTGTGATTGGCAGGCCTCTCAGCTAGCCTCTCAACCAAGGGGAGAGCTGTTTCTGAGACTCCAAACAGGGAGGGGAGAGCAGACATGCTTGGCACATGGCAGCATGATGCGCATGGTGAGAATGCGACAGTGGAGGGAAGCTCACACCAGTGAGTCCTTTCAAAGCATGGGAGCTCTGGGTGGGAAGTCTTGGTTCAATTCCATTATTGATGGGGTTCAGAATGCTCTTTGATTGTAGGTGAACTATAAATCCCAGCAACTACAACTCCCATATGTCAAGGTCTATTTTCCCTAAACTCCACCAGTGTTCATATTTGGGTATATTGAGGATTCATGCCAAGTTTGGTCCAGATCCATAACTGTTCGATTCCACAGTGCTCTCTGGATGTATTTATTAATTATTTATTTATTTCGAGATTTTATATACCGACCCTCTCACCTTCAAAGAGGGATTCGGACCGGTTCACAACATGTGTTAACATACAAAAATATACAATAACAACACAATGCCACTTCATTACACGATTAAAATATCAGCACCATACACATTAAAACATTATCATCACAGTTAAAAGAGCCAAATCATCCAACACCATCACAATCCCATTCATCACCCTCCTTTCATGTGGGCAAAGAATTAAATCAGTTGTCAAATGCCACGTTCCACAACCAGGTCTTTGTTAATTTCCTGAACGTCATGAGGGAGGGGGCAGTTCTGATCTCTAATGGCAGGGAGTTCCAAAGTCGAGGGGCCACCATCGAGAAGGCCCTGTCCCTCGTCCCCACCAGCCGTGCTTGTGCAGGCAGTGGGACCGAGAGCAGGGCCCCTCCAGACGATCTTAATGGTCTTGATGGTTGTAGGGGAGAATACGTTCGGAGAGGTAAACAGGGCCGGAGTCGTTTAGGGCTTTATAGGTTAACACCAGCACTTTGAATTGTGCTCGGAAGCTAATCGGCAGCCAGTGGAGCTCGAGTAACAGCGGAGTGGTGTGCTCCCTGTACCCAGCACCCGTTAGTAATCTGGCTGCCACGCGTTGTACTTGCTGCAGTCTTCAGAGGCAACCCCACGTGGATGTAGGTGAACTACGACTCCCAAACTCAAGGTCAATGCCCACCAAACCCTTCCAGTATTTTCTGTTGGTTATTGGAGTCCTGTGTGCCAAGTTTGGTTCCATTCCATTGTTGGTGGGGTTCAGAATGCTCTTTGATTGTAGGTGAACTATACATCCCAGCAACTACAACTCCCAAATGACAAAATCAACCCCTCCTCCCAATCCCACCAGTATTCAAATTCGGGTGTCTTGGGTACTGTGCCAAATTTGGTCCAGTAAATGAAAATACACCCTGCATATCAGATATTTACATTACGATCCATAACAGTAGCAAAATGACAGTTATGAAGTAGCAACGAAAATGATGTGATGGTTGGGGGTCACCACAAAATGCGGAACTGTATTCAGGAGTCGCAGCATTGAGAAGGTTGAGAAACACTGCTCTACCTGAAATAAAATGGGATGCAACCTCTTCGCCTTCGCTTATGAACCTGGAAGTGAACAGCCACAGAAAGCATATTCTGAGGGTTGAGCGTGTGCTCAGCTTGTCTCACTGTCACTTGGTACTTACAAATGATGGTGCTACTGATGTAAACGATGCGCCCTGAGAGGTGCGTTGGGCTGTCTGCTTCGGGGCAGAAAAGGGACCTCCAGGTGATCTTCTTCAAGACAGTTTGGCTCTCGCCAGCTGGACGGTTCATGCTGACCTTCTCTTCTTCACTTCCATTCACCTCCAGCATCTCCAGATCCCTGGAGTTGGTGATCATCTCAGGCTGGTATCTGCCAGAGGAGCCACAGAGTCAAAGCAAGAACATGGGAATCCACTGTCTATGACGTCTAGCTCTCTCTCAGAGATCATTACTGAAGTCTCCTAGGCGACGATGCAGCCGATGTCGCCTTCCAAGAGAGCCAACCCTTTTTGTGCTAGAATGCCACACAGGGCAGTGATCATGATAGCTGCAAGGGAAAAAGTGTAAAAATTAAAGCCAATTTAAACAGACTGAAAGCCAAAACCAAGGTTACAACAACATCTGTTATAGAACTCCAGTATGCTGATGATAATGTTGTCTGTGCGCATTCAGAAGAAGATCTACAAGCCACTCTAAACAACTTCGCAGAAGCATACATGAAGCTTGGCCTGTCACTGAACATCGAGAAATCAGTTTGGTACAAATCCTTCAAACCATGCCCTAAGCCATGTTTGAAGTTGGTGCTGGAGAGAAGCTAATGTCAGTAGCAATCAAGCAATTCAATGAGAGGCACTCCTTCCCCCAAAAGTTGTCTTTCACTCACAGAAGCCCCTGTCTCAGTGTTTCTCAACCTGGGGGTCAGGACCCCTGTAGGGGTCGGGAGGGGGTTTCAGAGGGGTCGCCAAAGACCATCAGAAAAGACCATCAGAAACCTCTTTGGCAAAAAAGGCTGAAGATCTCTCCACCTGTCCTTCTCTTCCTTTTTTGGAAACTGAGGGCAAATCCTCCCACCAAAGGCCCTTCTCTGCTGTGATTGGCAGGCCTCTCAGCTAGCCTCTCAACCAAGGGGAGAGCTGTTTCTGAGACTCCAAACAGGGAGGGGAGAGCAGACATGCTTGGCACATGGCAGCATGATGCGCATGGTGAGAATGCGACAGTGGAGGGAAGCTCACACCAGTGAGTCCTTTCAAAGCATGGGAGCTCTGGGTGGGAAGTCTGGCCCAATTCTATAATTGATGGGGTTCAGAATGCTCTTTGATTGTAGGTGAACTATAAACCCCCCAGCAACTACAACTCCCATATGTCAAGGTCTATTTTCCCTAAACTCCACCAGTGTTCATATTTGGGTATATTGAGGATTCATGCCAAGTTTGGTCCAGATCCATAACTGTTCGATTCCACAGTGCTCTCTGGATGTATTTATTAATTATTTATTTATTTCGAGATTTTATATACCGACCCTCTCACCTTCAAAGAGGGATTCGGACCGGTTCACAACATGTGTTAACATACAAAAAATATACAATAACAACACAATGCCACTTCATTACACGATTAAAATATCAGCACCATACACATTAAAACATTATCATCCCAGTTAAAAGAGCCAAATCATCCGACACCATCACAATCCCATTCATCATCCTCCTTTCATGTGGGCAAAGAATTAAATCAGTTGTCAAATGCCGCGTTCCACAACCAGGTCTTTGTTAGTTTCCTGAACGTCATGAGGGAGGGGGCAGTTCTGATCTCTAATGGGAGGGAGTTCCAAAGTCGAGGGGCCACCATCGAGAAGGCCCTGTCCCTCGTCCCCACCAGCCGTGCTTGTGCAGGCAGTGGGACCGAGAGCAGGGCCCCTCCAGACGATCTTAATGGTCTTGATGGTTTGTAGGGGAGAATACGTTCGGAGAGGTAAACAGGGCCGGAGTCGTTTAGGGCTTTATAGGTTAACACCAGAACTTTGAATTGTGCTCAGAAGCTAATCGGCAGCCAGTGGAGCTCGAGTAACAGCGGAGTGGTGTGCTCCCTGTACCCAGCACCCGTTAGTAATCTGGCTGCCACGCGTTGTACTTGCTGCAGTCTTCAGAGGCAACCCCACGTGGATGTAGGTGAACTACGACTCCCAAACTCAAGGTCAATGCCCACCAAACCCTTCCAGTACTTCCTCTTGGTTATGGGAGTTCTGTGTGCCAAGTTTGGTTCAATTCTATCACTGGTTGTGTTCAGAACACTCTTAGATTGTGGGTGAACTATACATCCCAGCAACTACAACTCCCAAATGACAAAATCACCCCACCCCTCCCCCAACCCACCAGTATTCAAATGTGCATATTCGGGTATTTGTGCCAAATTTGGTCCAGTGAATGAAAATACATTCTGCATATCAGATATTTACATTACGATTCATAACAGTAGCAATAAGGACCTAGATGAGATGAGACAAAGTATGCATGCAACGAAAAATGATGTGATTTGCTTTGTCGGGGCAGTCACAACCAAAAATGCAGGATACTGTCCAATTCAGGTGAAGCGCTAGCACTTTCGGAGTATAGGTTTTGAGAAACACTGCTCTACCTGAAATAAAATGGGATGCAACCTCTTTGCCTTCGTTTATGAACCTGGAAGTGAACAGCCACAGAAAGCATATTCTGAGGGTTGAGCGTGTGCTCAGCTTGTCTCACTGTCACTGGGTACTTACAAATGATGGTGCTACTGATGTAAACGATGCGCCCTGAGAGGTGCGTTGGGCTGTCTGCTTCGGGGCAGAAAAGGGACCTCCAGGTGATCTTCTTCAAGACAGTTTGGCTGTCGCCAGCTGGACGGTTCATGCTGACCTTCTCTTCTTCACTTCCATTCACCTCCAGCATCTCCAGATCCCTGGAGTTGGTGATCATCTCAGGCTGGTATCTGCCAGAGGAGCCACAGAGTCAAAGCAAGAACATGGGAATCCACTGTGTATGACGTCTAGCTCTCTCTCAGAGGTCATTACTGAAGTCTCCTGGCAGCTCTCAGTGACTTCATGCAAGATTCTTCGTGAACCTTATCTGGAAATGCTTTTTCTGAAGAAACACTTAGGCTTTCTTATACTTATGGATCATACTTCTTAAAACTTCAAGTGTTTCAACTGGATAGGTTTTTATTTGCATGAACAGAAGAACAGCCTGCCTCAGGGGAGCGTGCTTGCTCTATCAATGTTTAACATCTACACAAATGACCAGCCGCTTCCAGAAGGGACAGAAAGTTTCATCTATGCTGACGATCATGCCATCACCGCTCAAGCAGGGAGCTTTGAGATGGTTGAGCAGAAGCCCTGCAAAGCTTTAGGTCAGTGGTTCTCAACCTGGGGTCCCCAGATGTTTTTGGCCTACAACTCCCAGAAATCTTGGTCAGTTTACCAGCTGTTAGGATTTCTGGGAGTTGAAGGCCAAAAACATCTGGGGACCCCAGGTTGAGAACCACTGCTTTAGGTGCTCTTACTACCTATTATAGGAAACCCAGCTGATTCCTAATCAATCTAAAACACAGACATGTGCTTTGCATCTTAAGAATAGATAAGCATCCCGAACTCTGAGGATTACCTGGGAGGGAATCTTACTGGAGCATTGCAACACACCCAAATACCTAGGGGTTACCCTGGACCATGCTCTGACCTACACGAAGCACTGCTTGACTATCAAGTAAAAACAGGGCACTTGAAATATCATACGAAAGCTGACTGGCACAGCCTGGGGATCATAACCAGACACAGTGAAGACATCTGTCCTTGCGCTTTTCTACTCTGCTCTGAATATGAATGCCCAGTGTGGAACACATCTCACCACATTAAAACAGTGGATGTAACTCTTAATGAGACATTCCACATTATCACAGGATGTCTACGCCCCACACCGCTCGAGAAATTATACTATTTAGTTGGCATTGCACCACTTGACATCCATCGGGAAGTAGCAGCCAATAATGAAAGGACCAAGGCAGTGACATCTCCGGCCCATTCTCTGTCAATATCAGCCAGCATGCCAACGGTTTAAATCAAGAAACAGCTTCCTAAGATCTACAAAGATACTTGCAGGAATACCTCAGCAAGCGAGAACCCAAAAGTGGCAGGTTAAAACCCAGCACCTTAATCAGTGGCTGAGATCAGATGAGAGACTCCCTCCTGGACACACAGAAGAGGGGACGACCTGGAAGGCACTAGCACATGAAATGCAGAGCTAACCTTAAGAAATGGGGCTACGAAGTGGAGTCCACAACATGTCGGTGCAGAGAAGAGCAAACCACTGACCACCTACTAGAATGCAACCTGAGCCCTGCCACATGCACAATGGAGGACCTTCTTATAGCAACACCAGAGGCACTCCAAGTGACCAGATACTGGTCAAAGGACATTTAGCATAATGGCAAGTTTTTAAACTTCGTTTGTGTTTTTAAATACATGTTAATCCCTCAACTCGCTTCCGACACGATAAATAAATATTTGCAAGATATCGTGACCTTGTTGGATGCCACCTTAGGTCATATATTAAGGGAAAGGGTAGGGCATAAATTGAAGAATGTTTTAAAAAAATAAAGAGAAAGGCCATTCCCAACTAATGGCACTCTGAGGGAAGGAATCATAGCCCTCGATTGAAGTTCAAACGGGACCAGACTGGGATCTGTAGGGAGCCAGATCTAGCTCTGAGGCCTGATCCTCCTCAGCTGAGAGACCTACCTGAGGATGAGTACGCAAACAGCCACGAGGGAGTATGCCAAGAGGGTACCGATGGACATGAGGTTGACCAGGTCCTTCAGCTCAAAGAGGAAAGCCATCAGGGCTGTAAGAGAATAGGCGCTGCGTGAGCCACCGGATAAGTTTGCTGGGAGAAGGGGAAGATAGACCCGCTAACACATCCATACCAGCGATGATGCCAGACACCACTGTGGCCACCAGAGGTGTCTTGGTCCGGCTGTGCACCCGGAAGAGGAACCGGAAGAGCAGTCCGTCCTCCGCCATGGCGTAGATCACACGCGGCATGGGAAACATGGAGCCCAGCAAGCTGCATTGGGCAGAAGACGTCAGAGACACAAAAGTCAGAACTCGGGTGCACCTGAGAAGAACCTCAGAGGAGCATCTACTCCACTCAATACACACAGCATCCCCTTCCAAGCAGCTTTTTAAAAACAAGTTCAAAATATGGTGTTAGGGCTGGGTTTCTCCCTATCCAAACCATTAAGCTGGCCTTCTTTTCCGCATCTCCCCTCACCTTGTGGAAAGGGCGCAGAGCGAGCCAATGGCAACCACATAGCGGGCCGGCTCCCAGCCCACCGACTTGAAGGCATCAGGCAGCGGGCTCTCCTTGTTCACCAGAATGTAGGGCACCATCAGGGTCAGTGAAGCCGAAACGCCAAAGTAGGCCACAAAGCAGATGAGGAGGGAGACGATGATGCCGATCGGGATGGACCTCTGCGGATTCCGGGCTTCTTCACCTGGAGAAAGTGGGAGGATGTGGAGGATTCTCCAAACACTATTCCAGTGGAAAAGCTCACTTGCTCACTGTGGCCAAAGGACATAAAACTTTTAAAATGGGGAGGTGAGAATTGTGTGATTCTTGTCTTGACCCCACAAAACCTTCTCTAGAACCCCAACATCTAATAATCCCTAGAACAGATATGGGGAAACCCAGGGGCCAGATGCAAGCCCTTGGGATCTTTTCTCAGGCCCTCCTCTCTCTCACCATCCTATCCTTCCTTCTCTCTTTCCTTCTCCCTTCCCTCCTTCTTCCCTCCCTCTTTCTTCTTCCCTTTCACTCCTTCCTTCCTCCTTCTCTCCCTTCCTTACCTCCTCCCTCTCCCTCCCTCCTTCCTTCCCTTCCACACTTTCATCCTTCCTTCCTTCCTTCTCTCCCTCTTTCTCCCTCCTTCCTTCCCTTTTGTCTTTCCTTCCTTCTCTCTTTCCTCCTTCCCCTCCCTTTCTCCCCCCATTCCCTTCCATCCTTTTGTCCTTCCTTCCTTCCCTTCCTGCCATCCATCCATCCTTCCCTTCCATCCTTTTGTCCTTCTCTCTTTTCCTACCTTTTGTCTTTCCTTCCTTCTCTTTCCTTCCCTCTCTCTCCTACCATCCTTCCCTTCCACCCTTTCATTCTTCCTACCCTCTTCCCTCCTCTCTCCCTTCTCCTTCATTCCCTTTTGTCTTTCCTTCCTTCTCTTTCCTCCTTTCCTTCCCTTTCTCCCCCCCTCCCGTTCCCTTCCATCCTTTCGTCCTTCCTTCCCTTTCTTTCCTCCTTCCCTTCCTGCCCTCCACCCATCCTTCCCTTCCCTCCTTTCGTCTTCCCTTTCCTCCTCTCTTTCTTTCCTCCTTCCCTCCCTCTTTTCTTTCCATCCTTCCCTTCCACCCTTTTGTCCTTCCTTCCTTTCTTTTCTTCCTTCCTTCCCTTCCTTCCTCCATCCATCCTCCTCCATCCATCCTTCTTTCCATCCTTTTGTACCTTTTGTCTTTCCTCCCTCCTCTCTTTCCTTCCTCCTTTCCTCCCTCTTTTGCTTTCCATCCTTCCCTTCCACCCTTACCTTCTTTCCTTCCTCCTTCCCTTCCTTCTTTCCTTCCTTCCTTCCTTCCTTCCTTCCTTCCATCCATCCATCCATCCATCCATCATCCTTCTTCCTTCCTTCCTTCCTTCCTTTCCATCCTTTTGTACCTTTTGTCTTTCCTCCCTCCTCTCTTTCCTTCCTCCTTTCCTCCCTCTTTTGCTTTCCATCCTTCCTTATCCTTCCTCCTTCTTTCCTCCTCCTTCCTTCCTTCCTTCCTTCCTTCCTTCCTTCCTTCCTTCCTTCCTTCCATCCATCCATCCTTCCCTTCCATCCTTTTGTACCTTTTGTCTTTCCTTCCTCCTCTCTTTCCTTCCTCCTTCCCTCCCTCTTTTGCTTTCCATCCTTCCCTTCCACCCTTACCTTCTTTCCTTCCTCCTTCCCTTCCTTCCTTCCTTCCTTCCTTCCTTCCTTCCTTCCTTCCTTCCTTCCCTTCCCTTCCCTTCCCTTCCCTTCCCTTCCATCCTTTTGTACCTTTTGTCTTTCCTTCCTCCTCTCTTTCCTTCCTTCTTCCTCTTTTGCTTTCCATCCTTCCCTTCCACCCTTTTGTCCTTCCTTCCTTCGCTTTCCATACTTCAGTTCCACCCTTTCGTCCTTCCTTCTCTTTCCTTCCTCCTTCCCTTCCTTCCTTCCATCCATCCATCCTTTCCTTCTCTCCTTTCGTACCTTTTGTTTCCTTCCTCCTCTCTTTCCTTCTTCCTTCCGTCTTTCTCTTTCCATCCTTCCCTTCCACCCTTTTGTCCTTCCTTCCTTCTTCCCTCCTCTCTCCCTTCTCCTTCCTTCCCTTTTGTCTTTCCTTCATTCTCTCTTTCCTTTATCTTTCTCTTCTTTACATCCTTCTCTTCCTTCTTTCCATCCTTCCTTCTCTCTTCCCTCCCTCCTTCTTTCTCCTTCCATCATTCTCTTCTTTTCGTCCTTCCTTTCTTCTCTCTTTCTTTCTTTCCTTCCACCACTGGGCAGCCAGTCCACCTGGCAGGGAGTGCTAACATGTGGCCCCCCAAGTTAGAAAGTTTGCCCCTACATGCCCTAGAAGCTACTTCTGGTTACCCAAACTATCATTTCCGAACACTGTGGTCATGCCACTATAGCCCAGCCTGGGTCATAAAGAGTCCCTGGCCTTCTGTCTTGCAGAGCTCCAGCCCAGAGGCACAAGAGCAACACCAAGTCCTTCTTACATGCAAATGTATGCGCAGCAAGAAGCACATCTGCAAACTCTAGACTGCTCAGGCAGAGCGCATTTCTATGTATGAGAACTTTGCTATGCAAAAAAGCACAGCCCCCAGAGCTTTCAGATGAAGCAACCAGCCCTGGGGCTGAGTCTCACTGCTTGTGACTCATTTTCCAGAGCAGAAGCAGGAAATTTCTCCTGGGAAAGGAGTCCACATGGAACAAGAAGCCAGCCAGGGGCCAGGACCAGGCAGGGACCCTGTGCAACTGCATTGAGCAATGCTGCACGTGCGCATCTGCCGAGCATCCGCTTCCCCTAGAGCAGAATCACAGGACAAGTTTGGAAGGGAATCTGCCGTTTTCAGATGGTCAGAACAGGTTTGGTCCTGCAACCTGAATACTTTTATGTCTGTTTGCTGCAAGCTCTGTGGTATACAGAGCTCACCCCAACAACCCCAGAAGGAAACTGTTGCTGCTTTACCTGTTGTGGCAATGCAGTCAAATCCAACAAAGGCGTAGAAGCATGTGGCTGCACCCGACAGGATCCCCTGGAAACCAAAGGGGAAAAAGCCACCTTCCCCAAAAAATCCCGGTCTGGAAAAGAAAGAAAGACACTTAGTAAGTCAGATGTTACAAACATCTGACTTACAAACGACTCACAGTTAAGAATGGGACTAAGACAACAGGAAGTGAGAGAAATCTACCCCTAGGAAGGGAAATGCACTCCTGGAAGAGTTATTATCATGGGAAAAGTGGTCTCCACTTAAGCTTTATCACTAATCCATGTTTCCACAACAAGCCAAATTTCCCAAAATCCAATTATTACAGGGACAGAAAGTGAGGTGAAATCTTCCAAACAGGGACACAGACAGCCAAACAAACAAACATCAAAGGGGTGTGTGTGATTGGGCCGATGTGTAACTTTTATTCTCATGTTTATGTGTTGTTTAGACAGTGGTTGATAGATGGTAAGTATGAAGGAATATATTTTGTTGGAGATGGTGGCTTGGCGTTAGCTGGGTTGCCATAGCAACAGGGGCGGAGCCAACTGACTCTTCACGGGGCAGCTGTTTTGAAAGTCAGTCAGTAAGCCGGTGAGCTACTGGGAAGACTGAGTCTCTGGGTGGAGATTCAGGGAATGTGTCTGTAGCCAGTGTGCTATAGGGAAGACTGAATCTCTGGGTGGAGATTCAGGGAATTAATTGGTGACCAAAGGGGTTACAGAAAAGGACCCGGTAGTGATAAAACTACAGGGGGTTATTGATTCTGAGTTAAGAATCAAGGTTTGGCTGGGAGCCAATTCTGTTAATAAGCCTTTTAGCTTATTTGTTTTATTTAGGACAGTTGTCCAGAAGAGTGACATCTGCTTATAGAAACCTCTTGAAGTCTGTGCCTGAGATTACTCATGAAACCTTATTAATGTAACCAATCAAGATTTGTGCCTCTTGTGAAGAAACAGTTAAACATGTTATACTCCTGTTAAAATAAACTTGTTACTGTTTTCCTCAAGCCTTGCCTGATACAGTTTCTCTTAAGACAAACAGCCTGCATAAGAAGTAAAGTCAAGCCAGGGACAGTAAACGCTACGCTATCAAATGAATAAAGCCTTCTGTAATTAATAGTCCCTTTATAAAATAGCTCCTAAGCTGATATTGATCGTTGCCCGGCTTTCCTCACAGATTAGGTGGCAGTAAGCTTTAACCACACTCCTTCACAGTGATCCAAAGCTAATATGTGTGCATATATCTGTGCGTACGTTCCCGCCTAGGAATTTAACATCTTCTGGGGAGGGGTCCTGCTCTCGGCCCCGCCCTTGTCACAAACAAGATTGGCAGGGACGAGGGACAGGGCTTTCTTGGTGGTAGCCCCCCGCCTGTGGAATTCATTCCCCGGGAAATTAGATCATCGTCATCCCTCCTCTCTTTCAGAAGGAAATTAAAAACATGGATACGGGACCAGGCCTTTGGATAATCCGGCAGACTGACAATGGACAATGACGACTAAAGCTTTGGAAACGGACTATGATAAGCGGAATGAATCTATTAATTACGGACTTGGCAAAACGATGGCCACCAGGCTGGCTTTGTATTTTTATTGTATTAATGTAATGTTTAACTGTTATAATTTATTGTTACTATGTATTTTACTGTGTGAATTGTAGGCATCAACGTATGCCGGTTGGAAGCCACCCTGAGTCCCCCTTCAGGGGTTGAGAAGGGCGGGGTAGAAATACCCAAAATAAATAAATAAATAAATAAATAAAATATATACATATACATAGAGTTACTGTCAGAAATATTAAATATTAACTAGGTATTTTTACTCACATTTTTGTAATTAAAAATACCTTTTTGTTGTGTTGTTGTTGTTGTTCATTCGTCTCCGACTCTTCGTGACCTCATGGACCAGCCCACGCCAGAGCTCCCTGGTGACGGCCGACAGGGAGTCCTTCAAGAGAGAAGCAAGAGTAGAGAGAAGGGCAAGATGGATGAAGTGACTGGACTGACCTTGAAGGAGACCCTGGGGGTGGTGACGGCCGACAGGGAGCTCTGGCGTGGGCTGGTCCAGGAGGTCACGAAGAGTCGGAGACGAATGAACAACAACAACAACAAGGTATTTTTAATTACAAAAATGTGAGTCAAGCTAAAATGATCAAGGGTCTGGAGAACAAGCCCTATGAAGAGCGGGTTAAAGAGCTGGGCATGTTTAGCCTGAAGAAGACAAGGCTGAGAGGAGATATGATAGCCATGTATAAATATGTGAGAGGAAGTCATAGGGAGGAGGAAGCAAGCTTGTTTTCTGCTTCCCTGGAGACTAGGATGCGAAACAATGGCTTCAGACTACCAAGTTTGGTCCAGATCTATCATTGAGTCCACAGTACTCTCTGGATATAGGTGAACTACAACTCCAAAACACAAGGTCAGTGCCCATTAAACCCTTCCAGTATTTTCTGTTGGCCATGGGAGTTCTGTGTGCTAAGTTTGGTTCGATTCCATCATTGGTGGAGTTCAGAATGTTCTTTGACTGTAGGTGAACTATAAATTCCAGCAAACACAACTCCCAAATGACAAAATCAATCTCCTCCAACCCCACCAGTATTCAAATTTGGGCATATTGGGTATTGGTGCCAAAATACATCCTGCGTATCAGGTCATTACGATAGCAAAATTGCCGTTCTGAAGTAGCAACAAAAATAATTTTATGGTTGGGGGTCACCACAACATGAGGAACCGTATTAAGTGGTTGCAGCATTAGGAAGCTTGAGAACCACTGTGGTTTATCGTGGTCCAATGGAAACCTCTATATGCAACCATAATGCGTTCTATGCTCTGCCTTTCTCTGTCACTGTTCCCCTTTGACACTGGCAGATGGATGTGGAACTGCAGGCAACAGGAGAGCATGCGAGGCAGATGCTACCCGGCCTGCCCAGAAAAGACCCCTTACTTATTTCCAGGCTCTATGAATTGGTCAGTGCGGTTATGGAAATCCTCCTCCGACAAGCTCCAGTTCTTGACGTCCCCCTTCACACAGCCAGCCACGATGACAAAACTGAGGACCAGCAAATTGATGGCTGTAAAGATTTTGTTCACCAGGGCAGATTCACTGACGCCAAACGACAACAACCCTGCAAAGATGGACAGCATTTATTTACATATTTTTTTCTCATTACATTTTTTTATTATTTCCATAGTGTACCCATTATAACATGTGGGCGCAGCGGGTTAAACCACTGAGCTGCTGAACTTGCTGACCGAAAGGTCGGCAGTTCAAATCCAGGGAGCAGAGTGAGCTCCTGTTGTTAGCCCCAGCTTCTGCCAACTTAGCAGTTCGAAAGCATGCAAATGTGAGTAATTCAATAGGTACTACTTTGGAGGTAATGGCACTTCATGCAGTCATGACGGCCACATGACCTTGGAGGTGTCTATGGACAACGCCGGCTCTTCAGCTTAGAAATGGAGATGAGCACCAACCCCCAGAGTTGGACACGACTGGACTTAATGTCAAGGGGAAACCTTTACGTTTACCCTTTTTTTTTTTTTTTTTTTTGTCGTGTCAGGAGTGACTTGAGAAACTGCAAGTCGCTTCTGGTGTGAGAGAATTGGCCGTCTGCAAGGACGTTGCCCAGGGGACGCCCGGATGAATTGATGTTTTTATCATCCTTGTGGGAGGCTTCTCTCATGTCCCCGCATGAGGAGCTGGAGCTGATAGAGGGAGCTCATCCGCCTCTCCTCGGATTCGAACCTGCGACCTGTCGGTCTTCAGTCCTGCCGGCGCAGGGGTTTATCCCCATGCGCCACTGGGGGCTCCTATTACCCATAATAACATAACTATTTATTTATTTATTTACTTTGCTTATATACCGCTGTATCTCAAGCCCGAAGGCGACTCACAGCGGTTCACAAACAGTAGAAACAGTAGAAACAGCAGTGGTTCCATACAACATATAACAATTGACTTAACACATTATCCATAAATTACCAATAAGCAATTACAATGCACAATTATTACAAAAAACAACCGTACCCAATCTTCTCATCATCCAAGCGTAGTCCAGATTTGTCGTCCATTGTTCCATTCCTATGTTCCATTACCAGATTGTACTAAATTACTCAAACGCCTGCACAAACATCCAGGTCTTCACCTTTTTGCGGAATACCATTAGAGATGGTGCTAGTCTAATGTCCGTAGGAAGGGCGTTACACAGCCGAGGAGCCACCACCGAGAAGGCCCTATCTCTCGTCCCCGCCAGCCGAGCTTGAGAAGCAGGCAGGATCGAGAGCAGGGTCTCCCCGGAAGATCTCAAACTCCTGGTGGGTTCATAGGCAGAGATGCGTCTTTCAAAGAAATACGAAGTGCTAGGGCTTTAAAGGCCAACGCCAGCACTTTGAATTAAGCCCGGTAGCAGATCGGTAGCCAGTGGAGTTGGCGCAACAGGGGGGTTGTATGCTCCCTGCGCTCCGCTCCTGTTAAAATCATGGCTGCCGAGCGTTGGACTAGTTGGAGCTTCCGAGCTGTCTTCAAAGGCAACCCCACGTAGAGAGCGTTGCAGTAGTCTAAACGGGATGTAACCAGAGCGTGAACTACCGTGGCCAAGTCAGACTTCCCAAGGTACGGGCGCAGCTGGCGCACAAGCTTTAGCTGTGCAAATGCTCCCCTGGTCACCGCCGAAACCTGGGGTTCCAGGCTCAGCGATGAGTCCAGTCACACCCAAGCTGCGAACCTGCGTCTTCAGGGGGAGTGCGGCCCCATCCAACACAGGCTGTAACCCTATGCCCTGTTCGGCCTTGCGACTGACCAGGAGTACCTCTGTCTTGTCTGGATTCAATTTCAATTTGTTCGCCCTCATCCAGACCGTCACAGCGGCCAAGCACCGGTTCAGGACCTGGACAGCCTCCTTAGTAGCAGTAACTATCGGTATATAAAGCCACCAATTAACAGTAGCAATTCACACCTTCTAATAATAGCAAAATATATGCATCTAATTCGAAAGAAAACGTCCTAACCCTGTCAGGCTATAGATCCTGACAATATTTTGTCCTATCAAAGCTCTTTTCAAGCAATATTTATATATTACTAGCTGTCCCCTGCCACGGGTTGCTGTGGCCCAATCTGTTGATCTGGAAAATAAAGTAATGAGAAAGTGTTGGTTTGTAATATATGTAATGTGTTGATGCTTGTGGGTAAACAGTATTTCTTGTTGTTTCTTTGTCTGTGTTGATGTGAAGATTGTCTGGTTTGCCTACTCTGGAACATGCAACATATAATTGTCCTTCTTTAGGAGTCCCTTTCAAATCTACGATAATATATCTGTCATATACATATATGCGTGTGTGAATCATAAATATCTATCTATATCTATGGCTAGATGGCTCTTTGATTATGTTTTCTTGCCCTGCTGAAGGGAGTTGGGCTGGATAGCCTTAAGGAAGCATTTCTCAACCTGGGGGTTAGGACCCCTGGGGGGGGGGTCACAGGGGGTTTCAAAAGGGTCACCAAAGACCACCGAAAACACAGTATTTTCTGTTGGTCATGGGAGTTCTGTGTGGGAGGTTTGGCCCAATTATATCATTGGTGGGGTTCAGAATGCTCTTTGATTGTAGGTGAACTATAAATCCCAGCAACTACAACTCCCAAATGTCAAGATCTATTTTCCCCAAACTCCATGTTTACATTTGGGCATATTGAGAATTTGTGCCAAGTTTGGTCCAGATCCATCATTGTTTGAGTCCACAGTGCTCTCTGGATGTAGGTGAACTACAATTCCCAAAACTCAAGGTCAATGCCCACCAAACCCTTCCAGTATTTTCCGTTGGTCATGGGAGTCCTGTGTGCCAAGTTTGGTTCAATTCCATCATTGGTGGAGTTCAGAATGCTCTTTGATTGTAGGTGAACTATAAATCCCAGCAACTACAACTCCCAAATGACAAAATCATAATTTTTTGAGTGATGGTCACTCCTTGTGTTGTGAGACGTTTTGTTGCCAAATTTGGTTGTGATTTCGTTCATTGGTTCTTTTGTTTTTAAGGTACACATTATGCACAGAACATTTATATATAGATAGATAGATAGATAGATAGATATAGATATAGATAGATAGATATATATAGATAGATAGATAGATAGATAGATAGATAGATAGATAGATAGATAGATAGATAGATATAATATATATATAATTTACATAAAGTATTCAAAGGTGACCTAATTGTACAACATGTATCCTAGACTTGCTCTTTTTTCTGACCATGTATTTTTAGCCACTCAACACTGTTCTGAACTAGTCTCTAAATATTCTGGCTATATATCCTGCTAAAGGCTTCCAATTATTTTGAAAACATTGTGTAAGGAGACAGGTCAATTTATCAAATTCTGCAAAGTTTGGGCAACCATTCGCTTACAGATGGGATCATACTTTGTTTCCAATGCCTGGCATAAACTATTCAGACAGCTGTTATAGCATTTTGAAAGAAAACAGCATTTTTCTTATGCAATGCCAACAAAAATATCTCTGATAAAAAGAGACATTTCTGTTGCAAAATTCATTGAATTGTTTCCTTAACAGATGTCCAATATGCAAGGGCTTAATGACAGGTGACCGCCGCTCAGCTCCCCAAAAGCAAGGGCCATAGAATCATAGAGTTGGAAGAGACCCCAAAGAGGGTCATCTAGTCCAACCACCTTCTGCCAGGCAGGAAAAGCACACAAAGTACCCCCCAAGAGATGGGCATCCAGCATCTTTTTAAAACCCTCCAAAGAGATGCAGCTGCTCTTGCTGTTATTCTCTTTGTGATATTAAATGGATGCCATGGCTTTCTAGCTCAGTGCTTCTCAACCTGGGGGTCGGGACCCCTGGGGGGGTCACAAGGGAGTGTCAGAGGGGTCACCAAAGACCATCAGAAAACACAGTACTGTATTTTCTGTTGGTCATGGGGATTTTTGTGGGAAGTTTGGCACAATGCTATCGTTGGTGGGGTTCAGAATGCCCTTTGATTGTAGGTGAACTATAAATCCCAGAAACTACAGCTCCCAAATGTCAGGGTCTATCTTCCCCAAAACTCCACCAGTGTTCACAATTCGGCATACTGAGTATTCGTGCCAAGTTTGGTCTAGATCCATCATTGTTTGAGTCCACAGTGCTCTCTGGATGTAGGTGAACTACAACTGCCAAACTCAAGTTCAGTGCCCACCAGACCCTTCCAGTATTTTCTGTTGGTCATGGAAGTTCTGTTTGCCAAGTTTGGTTCAATTCCATCTTTGGTGGAGTTCAGAATTCTCTTTGATTGTAGGTGAACTATAAATCCCAGCAACTGCAACTCCCAAATGACAAAATCAACCCCTCCCCAAACCCCACCAGTATACAGATTTGGGTGTATCGGATATTTGTGCCAAGTTTGGTCCAGTGACTGAAAATTTTATTTATTTATTTACTATATTTATATACCGCTTTTCTCAGCCTACGGGCGACTCAAAGCAGAAAATACATCCTGCATATCAGATATTTACATCACAATTCATAACAGTGGCAAAATTACAGTTATGAAGTAGCAAGGAAAATAATTTTATGGTTGGGGGTCATCACAACATGAGAAACTGTATTTAAGGGGTCGCGGCATTAGCAAGGTTGAGAAACACTGTTCTAGCTGTTTAATTTAAAGAAGGTTGCAGTTCTTTTGTGACTTATGGGCATTCCTGGGCAACAGCTGGGGGTGCACATCTGGGATGGAAGGAAGCCACAAAGGTGCAAAATATCCCTTAGGTCTCAAACAACGTCCAAGTCTGTTCTACAGCAGTGTTTCTCAACCTGGGGGTCCGGACCCCTGGGAGGGGTCGCAAAGGGGTGTCAGAGGGGTCAGCAAAGACCATCAGAAAACACAGTATTTTCTGTTGGTCGTGGAATTCTGTGTGGGAAATTTGGCCCTATTCTATCATGGTTGGGGTTCAGATGCTCTTTGATTGTAGGTGAACTATATATCCCAGCAACTACAACTCCCAAATGTCAAGGTTTATTTTCCCCAACTCCATATTTGTTCATATTTGGGCATATTGAGTATTTGGGGCAAGTTTGGTCCAGATCTATCTTTGCTTCAGTCCACAGTGTTCTCTGGATGTAGGTAAACTAGAACTCCAAAACTCAAAGTCAATGCTCCTAACCCTTCCAGTATTTTCTGTTGGTTATGGTGGTTCTATGCGGAAAGTTTGGCCCAATTCTTTCATTGGTGGAGTTCAGAATGCTCTTTGATTGTAGGTGAACTATAAATCCCAGCAACTACAACTCCCAAATGACAAAATCAATCCCCCCAACCCCACCAGTATTCAAATTTGGGCGTATTGGGTATTTGTGCCAAATTTGGTCCAGTGAATGAAAATACATCCTGCATATCAGATATTTACATTACAATTCATAACAGTAGCAAAATTACAGTTATGAAGTAGCAATGAAAATAATGTATGGTTGGGGGTCACCACAACAGGAGGAACTGTATTAAGGGGTCACGGCATCAGGAAGGTTGAGAAACACTGTTCTACAGCTATCAGGCAGTAAGGCTATCTCACCCGTGAGCAGTAAAACGAGGGAGAGGGCAAAGAAGTCCGGATATTCAGCCAAGACATTTTCCAAGTGCAGGGAGGTGTGGTTCTGGAAGAACGAGGAGATGTGGCCTCCAATGATGTGGTCGAACGTGGAGCTCCAGGCACGGGCCACGCTTGCTGTCCCTGTTAAGAGGGGAAAAGGAAAGAGAAAAAGAGACCTTTGTTGAAGGCTTTCATGGTCAGAATCGCTGAGTTGCTATGAGTTTTTCTGGGCTGTATGGCCATGTTTGAGAAACATTCTCTCCTGACGTTTCGCCAACATCTATGGCAGGCATCCTCAGAGGTTGTGAGGTCTATTGGAAACTGGGCAAGTGAGGTTTATTTATCTGTGGAATAATGTCCAGGGTGGGAGAAAGAACTCTTGTCTGTTGGAGGCAAGTGTGAATGTTGCAGTTGGCCACCTTGATTAGCATTGAATACACTTGCAGCGTCAAAGCCTGGCTCCTTCCTGCGGGCATCCTTTGTTGGGATGGAGCCATGGGTTAAATGCATTGAAATCCACAAGAAACATGGGGACAATTTCAACGGAAAGGAGGAAACCATCAAAATAAACAACATCTGGCTACCAGTATTAAAAAAACTCTAGGTTTTTTCGGGCTATATGGCCATGGTCTAGAGGCATTCTCTCCTGACGTTTCGCCTGCATCTATGGCAAGCATCCTCAGAGGTAGTGAGGTCTGTTGGAACTAGGAAAAAGGGTTTATATATCTGTGGAATGACCAGGGTGGGACAAAGGACTCTTGCCTGCTGGAGCTAGGTGTGAATGTTTCAACTGACCACCTTGATTAGCATATAATGGCCTGACAGTGCCTAGAGCAAACTTTGTTGAGAGTTGATTAGATGTGCACAATTTCAACAGAAAGGAGGAAACCATGAAAATGAACAAAACCTGGCTACCAGTATTAAAAAAAACCTCTAAAATTACAACAGCACAACAGAAGAGAGGAAACAATCAGGGACATCTAATCAACTCTCAACAAAAGTTTGCTCAAGGCACTGTCAGGCCATCAATTTATTTATTTATGTATTTATTTACTGTATGCTCCTCTCTTCTGCTTTGGTCAGACCTTTTCACCTGGAATAATAATAATAATAATAATAATAATAATAATAATAATAATAATAACAGTCGAAGGCTTTCATGGCCAGAATCACTGGGTTGTTGTAGGTTTTTTCGGGCTATATGGCCATGGTCTAGAGGCATTCTCTCCTGACGTTTCGCCTGCATCTATGGCAAGCATCCTCAGAGGTAGTGAGGTCTGTTGGAACTAGGAAAAAGGGTTTATATATCTGTGGCATGACCAGGGTGAGACAAAGGACTCTTGTCTGCTGGAGCTAGGTGTGAATGTTTCAACTCAACACCTTGATTAGCATCAGGCACTGCCAGGCCATTAAATGCTAATCAAGGTGGTCAGTTGAAACATTCACACCTAGCTCCAGCAGACAAGAGTCCTTTGTCCCACCCTGGTCATTCCACAGATCTATAAACCCTTTTTCCTAGTTCCAACAGACCTCACTACCTCTGAGGATGCTTGCCATAGATGCAGGCGAAACGTCAGGAGAGAATGCCTCTAGACCATGGCCATATAGCCCGAAAAAACCTACAACAACCCACTAGCATTCTTTACAGCCACACCATGACTTCCTACAGTGCTATGACTCAGCAAAGAGCAAATGCTTTCACAGTTTTGGGGAAAAAATCTATAAGAAAGGGACACAACTGCCCCTGCCATACCAATCATGTAGGAGAGGATGAGGTTCCATCCAGTGGTGAAGGCCCAGATCTCCCCAACGGTAACATAGCTGTACAGGTAGGCCGAGCCAGCTTTGGGGACCCGGGCTCCGAACTCGGCGTAGCACAGGCCAGCCAGAACCGAGGAGACGGCAGCAATGAAGAAGCAGATCACAATGGCGGGGCCCGCCTGGTCTTTGGCCACCTCTCCGGACAAGACGTAGACACCGGCCCCGAGGGTGCTGCCCACACCGAGGGCAATCAGATCCAAGGTGGAGAGGCAGCGGGCGAGTTTGGTTTCCTGCGAGCAGAGGTCCACCGTCCGCCGGCGGATCAGCTTCTTGCCAAAGCTGGCCATTGCCTTCTTCAGCATCTTGGCCAACACCTGATGTCTCTCAACAATCTAGAGAGGAGATAACAAAGGTAACCTATTAGAACAACTGAGGGACTTGTGGAGAACATTTGCAAAGATGTCCAGAAGAATCAGGAGGCATATATGTTCTGGCTAGCTCAGTGGTTCTCAACCTGTGGGTCCCCAGCTGTTCTGGCCTACAATTCCCAGAAAACCCCAGGCAGTTTAACAGCTGTTAGGATTTCTGGGAGTTGAAGGCCAAAACATCTGGGGACCCACAGGTTGAGAACTACTGGTCTAGGATTCTGAAACTTTTGAGGGCCACAACAATGTCCTTTGAGCATCCTTGGCCCAACTCAACAACTGTTGTGTACCTTCAATGTAAAATCATACAGTTGGAAGAGACCGCATAGGCCAGTGGGTCTCAACCTGTGGGTCCCCAGATGTTTTTGCCTTCAACTCCCAGAAATCCTAAAGTGTTATATCCTGTTTCATTGAGTGGTCTTTACTTTGAAAGTAGTTGTTTTACTCCAGAAGCAGGGAAAAGCAAGCGGAGGAAATTCCTTCCTTCTCTGGTTTAAAACTGGCTTCTCTAGCTTTAAAACTGGCTTCTCTGGCTTGAGCCGAGGCCAGGAAATTCCTTCCTTCTCTGGTTTAAAACTGGCTTCTCTGGCTTGAGCTAAGGCCAGGGATCGGAAGTGGGGAAAAGCAAGCAGGGTAAATACTTTCCTTCTCTGGTTTAAACCTGGTTTCTCTGGCTTGAGCTGCGGCCAGGAAATTTCTTCCTTCTCTGGCTTTAAAACTGGCTTCTCTGGCTTGAGCCAAGGCCAGGAAATTCCTTCCTTTTTTGGTTTAAAACTAGCTTCTCTGGCTTGAGTCGAGGCCAGGAAATTCTTTCCTTCTCTGGTTTAAAACTGGCTTCTCTGGCTTGAGCTGAGGCCAGGAAATTCCTTCCTTCTCTGGCTTAAAACTGGCTTCTCTGGCTTGAGCCGAGGCCAGGAAATTCCTTCCTTCTCTGGCTTAAAACTGGCTTCTCTGGCTTGAGCCGAGGCCAGGAAATTCCTTCCTTCTCTGGTTTAAAACTAGCTTCTCTGGCTTGAGCCGAGGGCAGGAAATTCTTTCCTTCTCTGGTTTAAAACTGGCTTCTCTGGCTTGAGCCAAGGCCAGGAAATTCCTTCCTTCTCTGGCTTTAAAACTGGCTTCTCTGGCTTGAGCCGTGGCCAGGAAATTCCTTCCTTTTCTGGTTTAAAACTGGCTTCTCTGGCCTGAGGCCAGGGACCAGAAACAGGGGAAAGCTGAATCATTTCCGACTCACTTCATGAGTCGTAACAAAAATGGCGGAAAAAGCTTCAGAAGGGCAAAGGGACTTCCAGTTTTCTTAAAAACTACAAAATTGCTTCAAAAAGGTAATTTTTCCAACTTTATTCCGAATTATGAAGATTTTGACAGTACCTAACCATGTCTACTTGTAATCTGAGAGACTGTGACTTGCCCAGAATCAGCCAGGGCTTTCTATAGCCAAGAAGGGATTCGAACCCTGGTTATAATCTAATACTTAAACTTCTGCAACATGCTGGCTGTCTTCTCAACAACAGCACCAAGGAAATGATAGGAAAGAAGCTGCTTTCCCGTCATAAGACCATTCAGAAAACCCAAGGCTCTGTTTCAAGGAGTTGCGCAAAGGGAACCTTTGACTCCAACAGAAGAACAGCCTCGGAGCCAAAAGCATTTCATGTCATCACTCCTCTAAGGAACAGTCCATTCCTCATCCAAACAGACTATGGTTACACATTATAATCTCATCTACTTGCAAAGGTCCAAAAAGGTTAGCAAAACATGGATATCTGGATCTTTTGATGGAGAGTGACTATTGCTTGCACAACACTTCCTTGGACCAGCACCTTCAACGATTAACCAATCTCAGGTGAACTTTGGTTAACAGACAACGGGACAAATATTGAAGTG